GGCAAAAGCCTGGGAGCTGGGGGCCTGGGAGCAGGCCTGAAAGCGGGCCCCCCACTCCCGGCCCGCTCACACCCCGCTCACACCCTGCTCTCACACCCCGCTCACACGCCGGAAAGCACGATTTCCTTGTATTTTACACTGGAATCGTGCCCTGCCATGTGTGAGCGGGGGTGTGAGCGGGGTGAGAGCGGGGTGTGAGCGGGGTGTGAGAGCGGAGTGTGAGCGGGGTGTGAGAGCGGCCCCCCCGCTCCCGGCCCGCTCACACCCCGCTCACACCCTGCTCTCACACCCCGCTCACACGCCGGAAACCACGATTTCCTTGTATTTTACACTGGAATCGTGCCCTGCCCTGTGTGAGCGGGGGTGTGAGCGGGGTGTGAGAGCGGGGTGTGATCGGGGTGTGAGAGCGGCCCCCCGCTCCCGGCCCGCTCACACCCCGCTCACACCCTGCTCTCACACCCCGCTCACACGCCGGAAACCACGATTTCCTTGTATTTTACACTGGAATCGTGCCCTGCCCTGTGTGAGCGGGGGTGTGAGCGGGGTGTGAGAGCGGGGTGTGATCGGGGTGTGAGAGCGGAGTGTCAGCGGGGTGTGAGAGCGGCCCCCGCTCCCGGCCCGCTCACACCCAGCTCACACCCTGCTCTCACACCCCGCTCACACGCCGGAAACCACGATTTCCTTGTATTTTACACTGGAATCGTGCCCTGCCCTAGGTGTGAGCGGGGTGTGAGAGCGGAGTGTGAGCGGGGTGTGAGAGCGGCCGCCCGCTGCCGGCCCGCTCACACCCCGCTCACACCCTGCTCTCACACCCCGCTCACACGCCGGAAACCACGATTTCCTTGTATTTTACACTGGAATCGTGCCCTGCCCTGTGTGAGCGGGGGTGTGAGCGGGGTGTGAGAGCGGGGTGTGAGTGTGAGAGCGGGGTGTGAGAGCGGCCCCCGCTCCCGGCCCGCTCACACCCCGCTCACACCCTGCTCTCACACCCCGCTCACACGCCGGAAACCACGATTTCCTTGTATTTTACACTGGAATCGTGCCCTGCCCTAGGGTGTGAGCGGGGTGTGAGAGCGGAGTGTGAGCGGGGTGTGAGAGCGGCCGCCCGCTGCCGGCCCGCTCACACCCCGCTCACACCCTGCTCTCACACCCCGCTCACACGCCGGAAACCACGATTTCCTTGTATTTTACACTGGAATCGTGCCCTGCCCTGTGTGAGCGGGGGTGTGAGCGGGGTGTGAGAGCGGAGTGTGAGCGGGGTGTGAGAGCGGCCCCCCGCTCCCGGCCCGCTCACACCCCGCTCACACCCTGCTCTCACACCCCGCTCACACGCCGGAAACCACGATTTCCTTGCATTTTACACTGGAATCGTGCCCTGCCCTGTGTGAGCGGGGGTGTGAGCGGGGTGTGAGAGCGGAGTGTGAGCGGGGTGTGAGAGCGGCCCCCCGCTCCCGGCCCGCTCACACCCTGCTCTCACACCCCGCTCACACGCCGGAAACCACGATTTCCTTGTATTTTACACTAGAATCGTGCCCTGCCCTGTGTGAGCGGGGGTGTGAGCGGGGTGTGAGAGCGGGGTGTGAGAGGACCTTTCCCCACTCACAGGTGCCGCGCTCGGAATTCTTACAGGTCTGCTCACAGAATTCTCACAGACCAGTCCCCTGCTCACAGGTATCGCTCTCAGAATTCTTACAGGTCTGCTTACAAAAAATCTCACAGACCAGTCCCCTGCTCACAGGTACCGCTCACAGAATCGCCCACAGAAAACTCACACAGGAATCACAGAAAAATAAATTCAAGGAATCCCAGAGCTTGCACGGCACTGCAACTCTTAACTCTAAAGGTACTGGTGGACAGGAAGAGCTGGGAAGCGGAAAGGGTGGAGTCACTCCCCCTCCTCCTCCTTCCAAGAAAAGAAGTACAGGGCAAAGTGAGGGTGGAGATACTCCCCCAGCAGCAAAGGCCAAGAGTGGAGATCCTCCCTCGGGGGACCCCATCACGGAAGTTGCGATCAAAGTTCTTCAGTCAGCTGGTTATACCCCCTTTCCCAGTCTGATGTCAGACTGTGATGGGAACATCACTGAGCTGAACAATCACCGAATTATGGTGACAGTAACTCAGCAGCTGCGAGATGGCCTCAATCAGGTGGAACGACCCTCCCCGGAGGTAGCCAATGCTCTCCTGGAGACCTTCCTGGCCTCTCGCCGGGGACTTGCCAATGAGCCTCTGCATCCGAAGCTTGGATATCCCACAGCTGAAGAGAATGGGTGGTTTCGTTTTGAGTATTCTTCACCGAACATTCTTCCTGCAGGGGACAGCGAGGTTGCGTTCCACGGCACACACCTGGAATGTTTGCATGGGATACTGGCCACAGGCAGGCTACTACCTTCGACACCTGACCTCTCCGGCACGCGAAGCTTCGAGGCACGACCAGGCGTGTATCTCCACAGGATGTCAAACAGGCATCTTGCTGCCGGTTACAGTTGTCTGGTGAGGATAGGACCTCGGCACATATTCGTGCGGCCCATGTTTGAGGTGGAGGCTGCGCACTCTGGATCGCAAAAACGTGGTAAGAAAACAAACCAACTGATATACTCCTATGATGCAGTCAAAATCCGAGCGCTGCTACTGCAAATATCAACCAAGGAGACACTCACCTTAGGTGAGTACCTCCGAGAGTGGAGTGGCTTGTTGGAGATACCACTGAGACAAGCACGGGAATCCTTTTCGGCGTTGGGATACGAACTGCCTGGCGAAGCCTCGTCAAGTGGAGTCAAGGAAGGAGGAGTTGCTCCCCTTCCGGTTTGTGAGCAGGCGTCCAGCTCACAGGGTGGAGTTTCTCCCCCGACCATGGCGTCAGAGATTGACCACAGCTCAACAACGCCACGCAGCTCCACTATAGTGGCCTGGGAGGGCCAACCAGGCGATCTAGGGGACTATTGCACTGCCTCTACGAAGCCGGAGAGCAACTTCTCGTTCGAAGTCTCGAAGGCTCTAGCAGCTTCGCTCCGGCACGGACATAAACCCTACATCAGCGTCACTTCAGCTGGTTGGGCCAAATTAGAGGACGTCCTGAGATGGCCAAGAGTGCAGGCCCAGCACGCCACGGCAGGCGACCTCATGGAGGTCGTTCGGAGTAACGCAAAAGGCAGGTACGAGCTGGGCGATTGCCAAGGCCAGAAGTACATCAGGGCTCTGCAAGGACATTCTCGCTCTGATGTGGACTCCAATGAGGTGTTGGAGGAACTCACGGAGGAGATGCTCCCCAGAATGCTGTATCATGGCACATTCTGGTCCTTGTATGACTCCATACGCCAACGAGGCCTTCTGCCTCAGAACAAGATTTCCAAGGGTCGCGGCAAAGGTGGACGTGGCAGAGAGGGACGACAGCATGTTCACTTCGTCTCGGATCGGGACTATGGGAGACCTGGTGTTTCTGGATTCAGAGATAGCTCGTCGATGCTGGTGGCGGTCGATCCACGCAGAGCCATGCAGGTAGGGGTGCAATTTTTCCGTAGCAAGAACGGCGTCATTCTCACCCCCTCTGAAGTGCCCCCTTCTGTCATAGAGTACTACCAGAGCCTGAAATCAGGTACTAAGTACGGAGGCGACAACAGGCCGCTCTGATCGTGAGGACCCTCACCTAACGGTGGAGTCCCTCCCCACACTGATAATGCAGCTGCTCACGCAAAAATCTGTGTTATGAGGCTGAAGGTCACTTCAATTTCATCACCAGACAGCAAGTATACCCCGAGGTCGCATGTGAAGCTCCGTGCGAAGTCGTGGGCCCGGATCTGCAAGTGAGTTGTCAGCCAAAAGTTTTCTGGAAGCTCTACTTGCCTTCTCGTACAGGCTCAACTCACCAGCTGTCTCGACTGTAGAAGCCATGCCTGAAACACCGAAGAAGAGTGGCAACAGAGCGACCTCCCGAACCCCTCCTCCAGTGCGACGTCGGCCCCACCTATCCAGGTCGCCGCCAGCCAGTGACTCCATTCGGGAGTCCGACTCCGAAGACACAGCAGCCCCTAAAGCAGCCCCTAAAGCAGCTGGGCCTAAGGGCCCGCCGCCTCCGATGCCTGTTAACCTGTCAGGAAGTGGATCTAGCACAGATCGGACACCGGGACCAGGTAAGGCACCAGGAGTGCCAGCGAAAGGTGGAGTCCCGGGAGGAGTTTCTCCCCTGGGACCACCGCCAAAGGCTGTGACCTCAACGATCTCCCATCCAGGGACAGGAGAGCTTCATGTCACCAGCACAAGTCCGGCAGGAGTTGCTCCGCCATCTACAAATAGCAACAACGGGCTGGAAATGGCGCCTGGCCTGCCTTTACTGAGTGTTTCATTGCCTCACCGCCTCTACTATAACATAGAGCTAGTGGTTCGTACCGAGCCTTCACAGCGAGGCTAGACACTCTCGCGAGACAGCAGTGTGCAAAATGGACGTCGCCAATCAGTCAGCGATACATTGCAAATCAGCCGGTTAACTCCCTCATTAGTGCCAGAGTCTGCAGCTCGAGTCACTGACGACACGTCCGATTCCGACTTCATTGCTTGCAGCCTTGAGGGGCGGAGCGTGTGCGAGTGCTGTGTTAAGGCACGGCTCGTCATGAAGTGACCGCGCAAGTAGCAAGCAGAGCAGCAGGTCGATCCCTCGCAAAGCGTGGACGTCAAGTTTCACCTCAGACAGTATCCTCCCGCTGCGTGTGAATGAAATGTTATTATATGTAGACCTTGCGAGGGGCGGTTTGCGTGTGTGGTGATCTTGAAGCTTCACGAACGTCCTCAGGGTCCTGTGGATCCTGCGGAAAGCCTGCAGGGTCCTGGAGCTGTCGGGAGGTTTGCGATTTATCGGTTGTTCCTTCCGTTTCTTTTCCTCACTATGGGAGTTTACACTTCACTACAGACCCGACCAGGCGATTGGATGGTTGCCTCGTGCTGCCATCCTGCGTTCTTTTGAGGTTCATTTTGGGATTGGTTTTAGGGTCGGCCTTACGACCAATGCAATGAGCTCGGAGTTCACGGCATATGCCTGGAAGGTGCAAGGGCCGGAGCAAGTCTGGTTCTCGCCGGAATAGCACGATGCGCCGACAGTGTGGTGCATAAAGGGGCTTGGGTAATGCGACACTCTAAAGTTTAGGATTCAGGTGTGTAGGGTTTAGGCGCAGCATGCAGAGGCGGCACAGATTGTAGCCCAAAGCCGGATGTACACAGCCGCCAGCAGACCCACACCCTCCACACCAACACCCACGCCCACGGCCACAGACCCAGGCCCAAACAGCGTTTGCGCAATGGGAGGTTTGATGTCGTGTGTGCCCAGAGCAAGCTTAGCCGATGTATCCTCATGATCCTCATGTCGGAAGTCCCTAATTAAAACTTGGGGGTACTTAGAAATAATTATTAATTTTTGGTTATTATAATCCCTAAGAAACAGCTAAAATTATGATTTTTGCTAGGGTTCTAAGTTCAGTATAGTAATTATTTAACCTGAGAGCCTCAAGCCCAGAGCCCAAACCCAGGATGCCACGCAGTTCATCAAGCGGAAGACTCCAAAGGAGGGTCTGACGCCTCTCATGTGCTCCTGGGAGGGTCGGTCTTCGTGCTCCAGAGGTCCACAACCTTTGGGGGGTGTAGGGGTTAGGGTTTAGGGGGGTTTAAGGGTTTAGGGGTTTAGGGTTCAGGGTTTAGGGTTTAGGGTTTAGGAGGGGTTGGGGGTTCAGGGTTCAGAGGTGTAGGGTTTTGATTAACAATCAGCAAGCAGCCCATCAGAATCGTCAAGTTAGTAAACGGCCTGCTGAAAGATTTGGGACACACAGACCAAGCAGAGGGATTGTCACTGACATTTCGGGAAAGCCGGCCCTCAAGCACGAGAACTCGAAGCCCAAGCCCACTTTGTCCCCGAAGCTCCGATCCAGGTACGCCTCGCAAAATGGCTCGGTGTCAGCCGTGCATATGCTGCTTGAGGCTCGGTCTCCTAAACCCTAAGCATCCTTAAACCCTAAAACCCTAAACTCTGAACCCTGAAACCCCTAAACCCCAAACCGTCCCGCTCTACAAGCAACCCATCTCGAGACCCTGAAGCTTGTCAGGGCCTAAAGCCCGACACCGGGGGGCCCCGACACCTGAAGTCTAGCCACTCAGGACCTAACCCCAGATCTGGAACCCTAAACACTAAAAGACTCCATCCAACCCCTTTGGCCCGTGGCACTGAAGAGCCGAACGCCCAGCGGATGATTTGAGGAAGTGGGTTCGGGAGTTTTTTGGGTATCTAGGGGTTTAGTATTTGAGTTTGCAGATGCATAGATAGGATTCGCAGGCTGGCGGAGGGCAGAACCGGGGCACAAGACTCCCGATTTGAGGCGATCCCCTAATGAAATCCCAAGTCCCATATCCCAGTGCGGGACCATGATGGCCACGGTGTTTGGCTTCGGATTAGGGTGATCAGGGGTTTGCGGTTTACATGCATGTGTGCGTCTGTGTACGTACACGAGCATGCACCTTTCGTGCATATTGCGACTAGGGCCACTAGGGTTCACAGATTTTGGCTTGGACAAAACCCCAAGCCCAGATGCTGAACGCAAACAGACCTTGAGCCGCGAAGGCTATGCCATCAGGGCCGATGCTCATGCATCGCGGGTTTGCGGAAACTGCCGTTTACAGGCTGAGGAATTCAACCCCCGACCCTAAACCGTAAACCCCTGAACACTACACCCTGTAGCAGGCACGGGCCAACATCATGGCCAAAGACGAGGAGCTGCCAGGGAAAAGGCGTGGGTTGATTCGAATCTTCGGACTGAACGGCCGGATCCCGAAGCCCTCGCTTGAGACCTCCCTAAAGTGAAAGCCCAGACCTCGACGCGAAGACCAGGATGTCTCGGTTAGCAGTTTGCAAGCTCTTGCAAGCTGCTGCGCGACTTTTCCAGCCAAATGCTAGCTGCGTTTGAAGTTGCGAGTTTCGAGCTTACGAACACACTAAGCCTTAGGGGCCACTTGTTTTAAAAGACGCTTCCAAGAGCAGGCGTTGGACAGCCCTGGCAAGCCCCCCGCTGACTGCACTTCCCTCGACCCTACAACCCTGCATCCGACACAAGTCACCAGAATAAGGAAACCATACAATTTGCTATAGATCCTCATTATGTCAACTTGAATTACGTGCCTTTTAAGCCTTAAACCCCTAAACCCTAAACCCATCTAAACCCAGTGAATGAGTCGGCGCTTGGCGAGGATGGCATGAGACCTCTCCACTTCGGAGCCCGGTCCGGCGTGGTGGAGGCGGCTTTGGGCCTCGGTTTAGGGTATGGGGTGTAGGGTTTAGGGTATAGTGGACTTTGAGGTCTTTACGATGTACGGGTTCTTGATGCTTCAGGGTTTCCGTTTTTGGTACTTGTGTTTTAATGCTTTGGGGTTTAAGGTGGTTCGGGTTCAGACGTCCAGAGTGCACACCACGGGGCCGCTGTACTGCCATCACCAAAAGTCATGCCGCAAGAGAGCTGAAGGTTTGTAGGATTCGGTGCGCCGCAGACAAATGACATCGGAACATATCGGAACAACACCATCTTTCGACTGCTAGTAGGTGACCCACCCCCAGCAAGTGGCGTTTCGGGTTTTCGAGCAGGGGTTTCGGGATTTCTTGCTCGGGAGCCTGATTCATCCGAGCTACCACACAACGAGTGAAAGCAAGCCTAAGACTAGTAGCATCAGAGCGAGGGCGTCTTGGCAGTTTGGCAGGATACGTCCGAAAGGCGGCGTTTAGGGCGGCATAAGGTGCGAGATCCAGAGTTTCGTGTCGGAGGATTTTCGTGCATAGTACGGTAAGCCTTGGAGGGTAAAGCTGCGAACACCGAAACTCCTTGATTAGAGATACCTCGACAAGCAGTTCATGACCAAGAACCAAAACCCTTCAAGCGATTTCGATCTTTCTGGGCAGGTGTGTCGGCTGTTGGTGAAGAAGGGCGCGGATGCTCTGTCCGTGGCTAGGGCCCTAAGGTCTGGCTCATGGTCTCCGGGTTTCGGGTGGCGGATCCCGTCTGCTTTGGGGGGTCGACTAGTCCCTTAAAGTTCCCGACTACAAGTATTATGGCAAAATACGGCAAAAAACACGGCACCACATGCCCCAAAACCTTTCTAATGATACAAGTACTGCGGCCACTTTTCTGGATCAGGGGAGGGAGCCGGAAGCTACCGGCCGTCCTCGATCACTGCGATTGCGGCATGATCTACGCCATGCTAAGGCACGCCCTCAATTTCCGAAAAGCCCACCTCCAAAGGCCAAGAAGCATCAAGGACATCATCGCTGAACCCTAAACCCGATGCCCTAAACCATATACCCGAATAGCGAGCGCAATGCTCATGGTCCTTCGCCTTCCCGGCAAAGCGCGATGAGCCACAAAAGGATTGCTGTGAAGGTTATTGACGGATCCGTATGCGTCCGTGTGCCGCGATAGGCATCCATAGCCTTCCATGGGCGAGATGGGGTGGGAGCCATGAATGCAGGCGCGTATGAGGGTCCGGGGTTTAGGGCGCCTCCCAAGGACGACGATGGGAACACCGCGCTCGACCTGGTTCCCAGCCGCTTGGCCGTTGAGGGCTCTTGGCTCAGGGTTTTATATAGCGGTTCGAATAACTTCTGCTGATGAAATCCCCTTGTAGATTGTCCTTGTGCAATTACATGATGAGGTTCAGAGTTTAGGGATTAGATCCGGCAAGATTCAGGGTTGAGGGTTCCTCCGCTAGAAACGCCACAATCACACGCCCGTGCTACTGTTATCATTGAAGTTATCATTGTTATTACTGTTAGTATTAAGGCTTGTGGTGAACCCTAACTTTCATGTTCCCTATGGGATGCTGGCGCACTGAAGGCATATCAGGCTTTGAGCATCATCGATGTTGGTGTTGGCTTTGTTCGGCTTATCTTCGGAAGCTCGCACGTCCGAAAATCAGGCCCAAGTTGAACTCTGAAGCCCCCCGAAGCTTTCAACCCTAAACCCTAACCCGAAACCCAAACCCGAAACGCTAACCCCAAACCCTAACCCGAAACCCTAACCCCAAACCCTAACCCGAAACCCTAACCCCAAACCCTAACCCCAAACTTGAACCCGAAACCCCAACCCCAAACCCAAATCCCAAACCCCAAAGCCACAAGCCCCGAAGCCCTTTACAGAGCCCGAAAGCCAAATCAACCCCTCAAAGGCGACCAGGTCGAAACGCCGGCGCAGCGGAAAGACTGGGAGGCCGGTCCTGAACGCCCACCTTCATTGTAATTTTCATTATTGTTACTATTGTTCTTATTGTTGGTATGTTACTGTTATTATTATTATTACTATTACTATTGTTACTATTATTCTATTGCTACTCTAATGAGTATGACTACTACTCGTAATCTTGCTCTACGTTGCCTTCGAGTCCTTTGCCCCTGCGAAGGAGATCCTTGGGCCTCCCACGGTGCTGCCGGAGGTGGGAGAGGCGGCTTTGGGGTTACTTGGGGAGTTTGGTTGACAGTTGAGGGGTTTAGAGGTTGAGAGTTTGGGAGGTTTTGGGGCTCAGGGGTTTCGGGGTTTAGGGTTGAGTGTATAGGGTTTAGGGTTTTGGCGCGTCGGTTTTTTGAGGGGGGAGTTGAGGGGGAAGGTGCTTTGGCGGGGTCAGGGGGGAGGGTTGGAAGATACTGACGCTACTTGTGGCCCGGGTTTGTGGGAGTTTTGACATGGGAGTCAGTATATAAGGGGTAGGTCGCAAGCGGGGAAAAGCTCGTAGGGACTAGTCAATAGTCAGGTTGCCAAACTGGAAGTCAAATTGTCGTAGTGCTAGCAATCGCCATGAAGTCTTCTCAGGCCCCTCGAGGGTCGAGTTCGTGATCCGAAGTCCCTGACCTTAACATTGGGCTTCTGACATGTTCGAACTAAACTAGACTCTCTCCTCCTAGACCCGTTTTCTCCAGCTTGATGCACCCTGGCTTTTGAATCCCAAACTTTCCCCCTGAATCCCACCCCGCAATCCAAAGTTTCAGCGACATCAGCCGAGAAGATCCACGCGAAGTAGCAGAATGTTGTAGTGACCCCCAAACCGGGACCCATAATGCCAAGAAGCCCCACTCGTAAATACATCCGCGCAGGCGGCGCTGGAGAAGGAGGCCGTGCACAGCTCAGTTCGGTGGGTGGTTTCTGTGACTAGCATCCCATGTTGAGCTGTCAGCAGAGTATGTCAGGTCACTCTTTGTGATCAGGAGTTACCGAAACCCTAAACCCAAAAGCCTACGCTGAGAGCACGCCCAACAATGGGCTGGACGCTGGCGAGGGAGAAAGTCCGTTGCTCTTTAATGATAAGAAGCCCCACCTAAACCCCAAACCCAATCACTGCCCTCGGAGTTCCGAATCCCAAATCCTCATGCCCCGAAACTTAGCCCCATACCTCTACCATAGTACATGCTATACTATATCTAAGAAAAACCTGATTCAAATCATTATGCCCAGCTAGATCAGGCCAAAACCCTCAGCCCTATCGCTGAAGCCCCGAGCCTTCGTGAGTTGATCGCGTAAAGCCGAAACCCGAAACCCGAAACCCTAAACCCTAAAACCGAAACCCTAAACGCTAAACCGTGGTTCTGGGGTTCGGTCTTAGGGTCTAGGGTCACGCACAGGCTCGGCCCTAAACCCCGGATTACATGCCCTGTAACCTAAGCTGTAGCCACAGTTAGTGGATGAGTCCTGATACAACAGGGGCCTTGAGAGCTAGATTTGCTAGAACACCACAATGAAACTGCAAAGGAATATCATTGCTAGTTTTGCAGACCCTAAACTAGCCGAAGCAGTGACGCCACATCCGAAAGCCTGAACCCCATTGAAAAAAATTCTACACCTTGAGAAACGGAAGCATGAACCGCACGAAACCCATGAAGCCCTAAGCCCCTAAACCCCGGAAGCCCTAAAGCCGTGCATCGCTCTCGCTCGGATTGTCTTCTGACTGCTTGCCTAAACCCTAAAGCCATCAACCCCTGAAGTAACTACATTAACCTCTAAACACTAAACCATAAATCGCTTAGCCTACGAAGTCCGAACAGATCCTACCCTAAACCCTAAACCCTCCTAAACGGATGTCCTTTTCCAAGTCGGCCTCAGGCGCAACTCGAAGCGGACCTCCTTTGGCTCTCAGCGGAGCCCGTCCGCAAGTGCTGAGTTACGCGCAGAACGCCTTCAACTTGGGTTTAAGGGCTGGGGGTTTCAGGGATTAGTATTAGTTGAGTATATGAGTATTAATATTAGTAGCAGTAGCAATAGCAGTAGCAGTAGCAGTAGCAGCAGGAGCAGGAGCTGGAGCAGGAGCAGGAGCAGGAGCAGCAGCTGCAGCAGCAGTAGTGGTGGGAGTTGGGGATTAAGGGGTTCAGGGGTTGGGGGTTCCAGGTTTCAGGGATTAAGCGATTCGGGGGATAGGGGCTAAGCAGAGATTGTGGAATTTAAAAGCCCTACACCTTTGCAACTCCAATTTTGAAGCCTTCAAATTCGGCTTAAGCGATGGGTGGGGATTTGGAATTGGGTGAACTCCACCATTCAGTATCTTTAGGATGGCATGACATGAACACGGCAGGGTTTGGTGCGGGCGGGGTTGAGTGCGCGTTGCCGAGTTGAATTGGGCTTGTTAATGAAGACTTAATCCGGGGTTCTGTGCTTGGGGCCGTAAGCCGAAAGGACCGAAAGGGACCCCTACACAAAATTCAATATCCGGCTTCTGACTTTTAGACTGCCAGGAAACCCTAAACCCCAGCGGCTCACATCCGGGCACGTTCGGTTCGAACGCTCCCCGTTTCACCAACTGCCGTGGGCACCTGCTACATGAAGAATCTTGAAACTCACAAAACCCAAAAATACTCATCGTACTTTATGCATATTTTCACAGCGTAATGTAAGTAATGTCCTCGTTATCATCATCATCATGTCCATCATCATCACCATCTCCATCATCATCATCATCACCACCTTCATCGTCACCGCCATCATCGCCAGTATCGCCATTGTCATATTCATCTTAATCTCCTTCTTCTTCATCATCATCATCATCATCATCATCAAATTCGTCAACAGCATAATCATCATCTTCTTCCCAGTCTTAGTTTTCATCTTCATGGCCATCACTATCATCATCATCAGCTTCATCATCATCATCATCAGCTTCATCATCATCATCAGCTTCATCATCATCATCAGCAGTATCATCAGTATCGCCAGTGTTACCACCATACTCATGTGCGTCTTCATCGTCGTCACCATCGTCATCACAATCGTCACCATGGAAGTTACTATTTCGTACCGGAAAACGTGCCGCCCTGCAAGCCTTGTACAGTTGCAACAGCCAGGTCTTAAAAGCAATTCCTAGCATAACACGAGCAGCAACACTGATGATCGTAATACTGCCCAGAAGTACGATGTTGAGGATGCTCGTGATGGAAGTGCTGGCGAGGAAACCGTGATATCAACATGCTGATAGTATTTGATTACCAGAAGAGCTATGATGTTCGTTCGGGCTAACTAGGACTACGAAAGTAATGAAGGCAGGACCCACCGGCCCCGAGGTAACGAGCTGCATCCCAAAGCGGTTCAGCTCTGTTGCTACCACGAAGTTGTTCAGGCTCATTGGCCAAAGAAAGGTGTGTTTACTGAGTGCCCTACCCTAAACCCTAAACCCTGTCCTATATAAGCCTTCCTGAACGTCCCAAGTAGCCTCCTGTCGGACAGTGTTCTGAACAAGGAGTTTGGACTCTATGGCAGTTTCCCTGCCCCAAAAACGAAACTGTCGGTGTGGAAACCCTGAAGCCCAAAGCGCAAATCCAGAAAGGGCCGAGCGAAACCCATGGGTCCGAAGCTTATCGATGACGGAGGTCTGTAGTTGTTGGGTCTCCTCATTTTTCGAAAGATCTTGGCCTTGTAGCATGTCCGTACAGCGCTGGTCGGTAGCTAGGGCTAGGCATAGATTGATGCACAAGTACAGAATTACTAACACCCGAAGCCCCAAAACCCCCCAAAAACTATGCTGCGCTCGCTGTGTTGTTTCCCTTCTCAACCCTAAACCCAAAACCGGAGATTCTCGCGACGCTGAAAAACGCACTCGCCGCTCGCAGCTGTCTGTGCCCACAGCAAAGCACCCCCATCTCCGGCCCGCGGGCTGAGGTTCATGGGGTTCAAAGGGGAAAAGGAGGGACCCTTAAGGGGGACCCCTACCCTATAATGGGCTATATAATGGGTATATAATAGCTCCCCTTGGAGGGGTATGTGTGATTGTGATACAATATATACATGGGTAGTTGTCAAAATTAGGATCCATTTTTTTTGGGTACCTTAACTATGAGGTGTCGTATTATATTAAGGACCCCAAAAGGGACCATGATTTTGACAACCACCCATATATACATAATTATGTATGCCTTGATTGTTTTTGTGGTTCCGGGAGTGGATTGATGCGGTACCTGCAAGGTTGTACAGAGTACTTGCTTCAGTGCTTGTTCGAGGTCGAGGTTTCGAGATTGTAAAGCCTTAGTTCGGGTTAATGGGAGGAATGAGGTATAGAGTGGAGGCTTGAACTGAACAATAGGACAAAACTAAACTCACATCGTAAGCCCCAGTCTTTGAAACAGATCCAGCCCCAAAAACCCTAGAGCCCGAGCCCCGAATTTCGGCTACTCGCCGGCAGTGTAAGGAGGTTCCGGAGTCCTTTGGGTCTCAGGGATCCTACTACTTACGGTACTATGTTAGGGTCCCCTATTTTCGGAAACCCCCAAATAAATCTGCCGAAGGCCCGACATGGCCCGACTTAGCCTTGCAGCCCGCCCACAGGTGTCGCGATGCTGCCACCCGAGCCTGTCGCCTAGAGTTGTCTCGCGGATTTGATGGGTGGGAATCCGTGAATCCTAAACCCTCAGCGCTCAGACGCCAACAATACAACTCCCAAAGCTTCCAGGGAACGCTACTCTGCCATGGCCCAGCGTTGAACCGCAGCCCTCAGTTCGAACTGCCCTATTTGAGTGCGGTAACTCGAGCTGGAGAAATGTGACTGCCACAGATGTGCACAGACGGGGTTTCGGAGAAATCTAGAATGCCCTTAGGTGACATTCTAAGAATCTTACAGCACCTCCAGACGGCTCTAGAAGCCACGCAGACGCTAAAAAGGGCCCTCGAGCCCTAAACCCCAAACCCGCCCTAAGCTGCAGAAGCCCAACCCGAACCCTTGAACCCCGCATGCGAAGCCTTACCTGAGGCGTGCTGCGGGACTGTGGAACGATCCATCCGGTGAGGCAAGCAAGAACTCTAAGCCGTACGCCTGAAATCCGAACTAAGCATTGGGGTGTAGGGTCAATATAGTTCCTTAGAGTGGTTTGAACAGGTTTGTCGAGTTTGTGTGTGTTCGTTTGATGTTAAAACGATTTGGAATTTGCTCAAAGTCTTGTTCCCGGTGCTATTAGTATTGACAGTGTTTAGTATGACAGATTTTTATCTGAGTACTGTTATCGTTCCCACGAATATTCTCCGTATACCTGTATGCGTGTATGTATCTATGTCTATATACATATAAATATGAAGACAAAGCACGGGTAGATAAAAGTGCTTGTGTGTATCTGTGGAAGCTTACAGATATTGGCTCAGAGGGTGAACAGGTACTGCGTGGGAGGTTATTGTGCAATGCTTTTTAGAATTGCGAAGAATTCCAGGGTGCAGGGTTTGGGATGTGCTTACCGAGGTAGCAGGACCACCGAGTATCATCACCACAACCACCGCAAAGACTATCACCGTGCCATCACCATCACCATCATCATCATCATCCTCATCCTCATCATCATCACCACCGTCGTTATCACCACCGCCACCGCCACCGTCACCGTCACCATCACCATCACCACCATCCACCACCATCCACCACCATGCACCATTCAGCATCTGCATCAGCATCCTTTCTGCTGCTGTCGTTCCGTTGCCCAGATGACCGCAGAAGTAAGCCTTCTGTCCAAAGAACCTCGCTGGCACTATCGGATCCGGGCTTCGGCAGAGGTGAAGACCCCGAAAACCCACAGCAGAAGCTCTAAACCCGAAGCAAAACCGAACAGTCAGACTAGAACCTGCGGTACAACGAGTACAAAGGGACTATCAGGGATCAGTGTTTCGCTCCCTTTGGGTCCTCAATACCGTAGCTAAAGCAATTAGTTCTGAGGCTCAAAGCCGCAATGCAAGAAGTTTTGGGACCCTAAACCCAAGCCCTAAACCCAAAACCCTTCTGATTCTGGAGTTCTGGTGTGTTTTTTTTTTTCAATAAATACACCCCCTCTCGCCGCTCAACGGCCGCCGCGCCGCCGCTCTTCGTAGCCCCTTGGCTCCTCGTTGCCATCCCCGCGGCTCCGGGAGGGGGCCCCCGGAAGCCTTAGGCCAGCAGCGGGTTTAGGGTTTAGGGTTTAGGGTTTTGCTATTCTTTTTTGGGGGTTCCTTTAAAAGGTACCCCTTAAAGGGGTCTATAAGGGATCTTGTGTGGGGGTTCCTACCTTGAAGTTTCGCAGGGGTCTACATAAAGGATCTTGTGCAGGGTTCTATGGAATGGAAAAGGGTCCTAAATAATGGCGAATACCATTTTGGGGGTTCCTTATTCTATTTATATATATATATATATTATCTGTATAGTAAAAGTACATTCCAAAACACTGTTCCAATTATTAAGGCACCTATAGCATAAGAGTCCAAGTACCCATGTTGTATACTTTGGGCCTGAGAGTACCCCGAACCAAAACCCTAAGGTTTACTATCTGTATAGGGTTCGTTTTTTGTTGGGTTTGAGGCTTAGGCTTGGGACTTTGCAAGAGTTGAGGCTTGGGCGGATTTTTTGGCGCACTTGGGGTCAGAAGGCTTCGTTTAGAGATGTTTCGGAAGCCCTTGGAGCCTGGGAGATGAATTTGCTTGAGACCGAGCTGTTTCGCGGTTTCATGAACTATGTCCCCCACTCAGGAACAGTTGGATGATGTTTATATAGACGTATTAGGACCTTATTAGTAGCCCTATTATAGACTGATACTGTATAGGGGCAGTACCCGAAGTATGTTCAGCCTTTTGTGATGTCTAGGGTTGCGAGTGCGGACGCTTGGGATTCTGGACCCGGGATTTCGCAAACATCCTATACCTTGGTTCGTGACTATGGGGGAGTTTCCGAAAATGGGGGGTACCTTGTTTTGCAGTCCTTCTAATAAGGATCCCAATATTTGGGGTACTATATTAGGGTCCCCCGTTTTCGGAAACTCCCATGTAGTTTCCTGGGCTGAGATTCTACTAGGTTTCGGATCAGACGTTTGCGTCTGTGGCTTGGGGGTTAGGGTTTAGGGTTTTCGGGGGTTGGGGTTCAGGTTTCAGGGACAGGTTCGGCGAGTTTTAGTGCCAAACCACCTGACCCCCTAGATCCTGAAAGCCGGGGCGAGTTCTTGATGTTTGATGGTCAAGCCCAGGCAGAACTCAAACCCAGCCTCTGCAGAATCAGCCGAGGAGGGCCCTATCTATCTATCTATCTATTATATATATATATATATATATATATATATATATGTGACGCTGACACTTCCGCTACCGGCGTGGGTGCTGCAGACTTGCAAACCAACCCGCGCAGGCGATCGCTGTTCTTAGCAGGTCATGATGTATCCACCAAAGCCTCAATGATTCGAATCCTCTTCTCAGGGCCATGGCCTCCGGCACACATCCGCCGCTACCGGCCGCCCGGTGCGAACTTCTGGATTTGATATAAAGATTTTGGACCGCGGAACGAAGCCTCCGATGAGCAGAGGGGAGGGTTGGCTTGCACCAGGCTGAAATGCGGTCGACACTTGCTTCCTATGGCCCAGGGCAGTTAAATAGTTCGAACAGAATTCGGGGTATTTGATAATACAGCCTCACATGCCCAAGGCTCAAGCGCATTCGGGGGCAGGGTCAAACTTTCCAAGCTTGTTTGGAGGCCTCTGGCGGCCTGATCCAGTTCAGGGTTGATGGTTTTTGAGATTTTGAGGTCTCGGGACTAGTGTTAAGTGTCAAGGCCCTGAAGCTTAACTGCCACAGAAGCCCAAAAGCCCAAAAGCCAACCCCAAGCCCCTCAACCAGAAAGACACTCGAGCACTGCAGAACTCTAAACCCTGACAACTCATCAGAATAAAATCTGTCAATGGTAGCATAGGAGCGATTTTCTAAAGCAGTTAAACGCATTAAGCCTTTAACTTGAGCACAAACCCTAAACCCCTACACCCGAAAATCCCTAAACCCTGAACCCTAAACCCTAATCCCCTAAATCCTAAACGTTTTGACACCCTTCAGCCCTGCCGTGGCAGTGCGAGGACCTGGCACTAGATGTCAGCTGCCTTATGGATGCAGTTCGTCAGGCACAGGGTGTACCAAGGGAGTTCAGGGTTTCAGAGTATTTTGGGTATTTAGGGCTTTTCGTGCATTTAGGGTTTTGCGGTTTTGAGTGTCGGTTTGCGGTTCCAGGATTTTGGGGCCAGGGTTTAGGGTTCAGGGCTTGGGGCTTGTGTGGGGGTTAGTCCAGGCGTAAGGCATATGTATATGTATATATACATATATATACATACATGTATATATATATATATATATATATACATACATATACACATATATGCATATGTATATGTATATGTATAGGTATATGTATATGTATATGTATATACATATACACATACACATATGTATATACATACATACATACATATATATATATATCTATATCTATATATATATATATATATATATATATACAGGTATAGAACTATATAGACAGACAGATAGACAAATAGACAATAAGACAGATAGACACATAGACGGCTAGACAGGTAGACAGATAGACAGATGGACAGATGGACAGATAGACGGATAGACAGATAGACAGATGGACAGATGGACAGATGAGCAGATGGACAGATAGATAGATATATGTATTATATAGACTGATTGCGGGATCCAGGGCGTAGAGTTCGGGGCCGAATGAGAGCTCAAGAGTTGATAATGCCTTGGGGCTCAGAGGGCCTTGGGCCTTGGGCCTTCGGTTGCTTTTGTTGGTATCTGTGGGCTTAGGCTGTTGATTGGACGAAATACCGCCGCGTCACTTCTTGTACTTGTCGTCCACTACCTACCCTTCCCAATCCTCAGCCCCACAGTGTATCCTTCCCGACCCGCACTCTTCTCGATCTGCTGAATGACTCCTTCATCTCATCGACATTGAAATCAGAGTCATTAACGGGTGAATGCAACGAGCCAGTAAACTTAAACGGCCATGCTCTCTTGCGGGGGGTGGGTCTTCGTTCTGAAAGCCTAAACCCCGAATTCTCGACCCTAAACCCAAATCCCGCCAATCTCAAAACTCTTGCAAGGAGGTGACACAGCTGATGCAGGAGGGTGTCGGAAACCAAGAGTGGCCTCAGCTGCGACCCTTGAGTGCAGCGGTTTGGGAACGGCAATCGGATATATCCGCAGCAACCATCGTCGTGCCAAGAACTAAAACACTACTTCAACTACGTAGCAGTGGTCGCCGTCCCCGTTGTCGTCGTCGTGGTCGCGGTCGTGATGGTGGTGGTGCTGCCGCTGGTGGTCGTTGTCGTCGGCGTGCCAGTAGAGGCAGCAGCAGAGAGCAGCAGCGAGAGCGAGAAGAGAAGGGCACACTGCACCATCGACCAGAGCAGTGATACTGGCCATACCTTCATCACGCATCGCGGCCGGTATAGAAGAGGCTGGCAGGTATTCGGGGTTGCGATGCGCCATACTCTGCAGCCGAGCTTGTCGTGTCGGTGGATATTAGTGGATTCTGCTGGCCCAGCATGTCTCTCTGCTCCCTCCCTCCCTCCCTCCCTCCCTCCCTCCCTCCCTCGCTCTCTCTCTCTCTCTCTCTCTCTCTCTCTCTCTCTCTCTCGTATAGCGAGCCTCGCACATGCTAGAGAGTCCGTGTCAGACTCAGGTCCAAAAGACGGCATCCTACTGCGCCTCTCTTTGTGCCGAGCGCATCGTTACCGCACGGCGGGAGATGCAGCCGCTCGACGAACAAATGGCTGTTGCATGTCTGCAGCTAGCAGACTCGGGGCAGGCCCCTAATCCCAAACACTGATGTGTTTCAGTGGCGTTTGGGCGTGATGTCAGACTTGAGATTTCCGGTGGACTTGGTGTTGCTGATCATCATGTTGCGCAGGGCTACCAGGCTACCACAGGTGCTTGCCGAGCAGGCGGCAAATTAGTACAGTTTGCAAAACCCATCTGGAGCCACCTAAACGCTGGAAACCGAAAGCCGTGAAAGCCGGACCCTCAATCCTCGTTTTCCCAAGCCCCACAGCCCAAACAGCCAAATTAGATCCCCAATACTCAGCTGGTTTGTTTTACTGAGCGGCAACCTTGCCGCAGCCTCCAACTCGTGTATTCCAATCAGAAGATGATAACGTTAAGGCCGCAGAGTCCTTTAAGCACCACCCTTAGACACGTCTTAGCCCCTGAGACTTAGGGGTACTTAGAAATACTTTTAATGTTTGGTTAAAATTATAATCCCTAAGAAACAGCTAAAATTGTAATTTTGCTAGGCTTCTAAGTTCAGTATAGACGTATTTAGAACCTATGCGTTACATCCGAAGTCTCTTAAAGTCGCTCCCAGGAGGCGGTGGGCAGAGGAGCGTCGAGAGTTGGGGTCTCAGAATCAGGGCCGTTGACAAGACAGGGCTTAGCTAACCCTAAACCCTAAACCCTAAACCCTAAACCCTAGACCCTAGACCCTAGACCCTAAACCCTAGACCCTAAACCCTAAACCCCTGGACCCTAAACCCTAGACCCTAGACCCTAAACCCTAGACCCTAGACCCTAAACCCTAAACCCTAAACCCTAGACCCTAAACCCCTGGACCCTAAACCCTAGACCCTAGACCCTAAACCCTAGACCCTAGACCCTAAACCCTAAACCCTAAACCCTGGCTCAAGAAGAAAGCTCTCAGACACAAGTTACCACGAAGCCCGTAACCCAGAGCTGATAAAGCCAAGATCTCCTTCTCTCTTAGCCATGGGCATTCGCGAGTACATGCAACTTGCTGCTCATCCTAACAGGATCGAGGCAAGAGATATTCCCAAGCGACTCTATGAGGATTTGTCGAAGCTCGATAACATGGATCGTTTTGTGAAGCTTGGAGTCATGCTCTTCATGGATCTTGGAACTGAGAGGATTGCTGCGCAAGGAGTCGACGAAATCCTTTTCCATCTGGGTTTGAATGTGATGGGAGAAGGTTTTGAGGAACTCCCTACAGATCTGGACACAGAAGATGCAGTTGGAAAAAGAGCAATGGTTTACGCAACCACCCTTGCGGAGCCTTCCCTCCCTACTTGCAAGCTTGGCGAAAGAATCCGGAGAAAGGAAGAGTCCTCTCGCCAGGAAATCGCTTACTTGCAAAGGGTTGCAACTGGGAAGTACATGGGAGTTTCTCCATTTCCAAGATCTAAAGAGCAAGGGTATTTGGATCGAGCTCATGAAGCTTTTCAACTCTATGGCCGTCGGTCTGGTCTTTCCACAGTTGGTTTGGCTTACTGCCAAGTTCTTCGCTCGGAAGCTGAAGCCGACGAGGTCATTGCGAACAACATCATCGCGGAAGTGATGGAGAGAGTTCGAAACGACTGCTCTGTGATCTTTGCCTCGACTTCCGACTCAGACGTACTAGCGCTCACAGCGCGAGGGCTTCTGTCCTTCTTTGACAGCCAGTACGGGACGGAGTATGAAGTGCAAAGACTCGCAACTCGCCTTGTTTACTTCCTTGTTCCGAAGCCGGAAAATCCTCAAGAGACAATGATTGTTCCTGCGTACGATTTGGTGAGGAAAGTTGCAGCGACTCGAGAGATTCTGAGCTTCGTGGATTTCCTCTCTCCATTGACCACGGTGGGTTTTGATCCTAACAGGGAGGGTCCCATCGGTCAAAGTGAAGCTTCAGTTCGACTTGAAGTGGAACACTTGAGAATGGGGCTAGGAGAAAACAAAGAGCGCGCAAAGATAATACTTGGTTTTCTCATCTGTCTTGCGGCTACGATCAAGTATCCGACTGCATCAGAAGTGATAGACTTCCTTCGAATCCAAGATTCTGATGAAAGAAGAAGGAAAAATCTTGAGCTTAGAGCTCAGGTTCACTCTCAGCTACCTTCGATGAAGATCTTGATGGAGGCTGCAAAGGAGAATGGATGGATGAAGTCAAAAGAAGAGATCGTGAGCGCAGGACCCATGGACATGGTTTCTTTTTGGTCAAACCATCTTGCGCTTGCTACTCTTGGAGTGATTCCAGAAGGGACTTCTGTGAGAACAGATGGACTGGATATTTTCGCTTTTGGAAACGGTCACATCGTCGTTTCCGACACTAGTGCCACACAACCTGTATGGGATTGGTTCTGATTCACTTTGCATCCTTGCTGGTTCCTTTTGGTCATATAGTCTTTCATATTGGCAAAGTTGTGAGTGGCCAAACTGCCAAAACAGGGGAGGCCATGGGATGGTGTGCCAGTTAGGTTATGGCCGTGGTAATTGGTGGTGAATCCCCTGCTGAATATGGCCTCCCCGTTCAACCCCTCCACCAACCTGGTGTTCTTGATAACCTTCGGGGCAGAGAGAAAAGAGGGTTTAAAAAAGAAAAAAACCCTCAACCCTAGACCCTAGACCCTAAACCCTAAACCCTAAACCCTAAACACTAGACCCTAGACCCTAAACCCTAAACCCTAAACCCTAAACCCTAAACCCTAGACCCTAGACCCTAAACCGCTTCGTTAAGGGCTTCTTTAACGGGTTGAAGATGTTCCAGGGTTCTATCTGGCTTGCCACAAGCGTTGAGAGTTTTGGGGGTTTTCGACCTTTTTAGGGTCTAAATGCTGTGGCTCTAGTACTTTGCTGTTTTTGTTGCGTTTGTTTGAAGGGCCTTCAGGTCCTTAGGGTGTTGTTTTTACTTGTAGCGCCTCTTGGAGTTCAGAGTGCTTCGGGTCTCAGGGTGTAGGGTTTTGGGCTCGGGTTTGGTCATGAGGGTCTGGTTTCAGGATCTTCTGGGATTGGAAGGTTTGGGATCGAGTTTAGGGTTTGGGGGTTTAGGGTAGCTGTGGACCCTGAATCTTCTGCGCCAGGCTGGAGAGGCTTTACGGCCTGCCTCCCAACTGCGGGTGGGCCTGGCGCCTTGTGGTAACCCCTATAGCATCCCTTATGGTATCCGCTATACTGAACTTCAACTCGAATCCGAAACCCTAAACCTTCTCAGGTTTTATCAAGAGCCCGAAAACTCAAACCTTGTCAGGTTTTATAGACTTGTGCGGGTTGCCTGTCCCGTTGCTCATGCGACGACGACAGCAGCTGCCTACTGGTACAAAAGGGACCTACATAATTACCTAAGGTAATATTGTGGGGGTTCCTCATCAGAATTATAGCAGAACAGACCCCAAAAGCCTTTTCTATTTAAGGCCTCTTTGGTACCCACTGCCAGCGCTCGTGCAAGTACCAGTGCCAGTTTCAGTTCGGGTTGTGCACCAGCACAGGCGGCAGCACCAGAAGCAGCAGCAGCAGGGGCAGTACTGGTGGCACTCACTAGCAGTATCAGTAACAGCAGCTACTATTTGCTTAAGAGCCCCCAAAAAATAAAAAACATATTCCTTATGGGGGTAATATAGGGATTATTATTTTTATTTTTTGGTGGTTTCTTAAGCAAATAGTAGGCAGCAGCATGTAGTAGTACGTAGTGAGGAGCAGAGGCAGTGGCAGTTTCAGGGTTCAGGGCTCATTTTGCGGCCTGGACGACCCGGCCCTGGCCATTCTCCGAAGCCGGACCTAGGAAGCCTACAGCGGCTAGTGTACGGGCCTTAATAATTAGAATGGGGTTTTGGGGGTTCCTTGTGATAATTACAGGTGTAATATTACTTACTCTGATTATTCAGGCCCCTACATGACAAACCTGAAGGCCCCAGTGAAACCTCTTAAAGCCCTCACCCACCTGAAAGCATGCTGAAGCCATTCACATCCAAAATCCAAAATCCGAATCCTAGACCCAAAAAGCCCGGAGCCATGATTCATAACTGAATCATATTCTAAGAGGCCCCACGGCGTGACGCCCTAAAGCCTTAACACCCTAACAACTTGTATATCATAAACCTCCATAAACCCCTGAATTCCCAAACCCCTAAAACTCTACAACCCTAAACCCCCACATCCCAAACTCTAAACCCTGATCGTGGATGCCAGGGCGGGGACCCCGATGTCTTCTTCGGCGAGGCGAATGCCCCGGAAAGCACAGTTTTTCAGGGTTTGATATACTCCCTTTTGCTTTTGTTCGCGAAAAAGGATGAGCTTTTGTTGGAAAAGGGTTTTGTAAAGGGCTCTGAGGAACTCTTAACCGGGGGCTTGGAGGCACCTGGTCAGGTGCTGCAGATACCAGACAACGAAGCTCCTGCATCTCAGACGCTCACTCAGCCGCCCTGGATCCTACACTAGTCAGGTGTAGTGGCACCTCTCGCATGGCCTTGGCACCTGCATCGCGCGCAGGCCGGAGAGGGTCTAGGCCTCTAGGGTTTGAGCATCGTGCGCATGCTGGTGTATGTATGCATGCATGCCTGCATGTATTTTTAGGTATGTAGGTATGTATGTATGCATGCATGTATGTGTGTATGTATGTATGCATGCATGTATGTTTGTACGTATGTATGTATGTATGTATATATGTATTAAGGCTCACAGCGATACACACTGTAGTGTGTCTGCGGGACCCCGTAGGGGCTTTTGTCGGTGTTTGGTTGTGGCTTCCGGGGCTGCTGGGCCGAGGGTCTGCACTGTGGCATGAGCGACCCTAAAGCCATGGACTGCTCTCGGGCCAAAGTTATGGTCACACGCGCTGGCTGCAACACGTGCCTGAAGAACAAGATGCACGCAGGCTGGTTATGCTTTGCTGGATTTCTGATTTGGATTGTGGCTTTGAACGGGGCTATACATGCTGCCCTAGCGCCAATCAGCAGTCTGCACAGGCTCAGGAGCACAGATGCCTACCCGTATGCAGGGCAGGTTGGATCTTCTGAAGTCGCCGCTACTCCACGCGCTGACCCCATCAGATGTGCACCCCATCTTGCAGGTCCTCCAAACAGGGACATGGAACAGAGACGGGTCTCAGGCGCGTGTCTCGGCAAGGGCAACATTGCTCTGCCTCCTGCTTCGTCGCCTCTGCTCAGGCTAAAGCTTCAGCCACTGGCAACATACATGTTTGCTCTGGAGCGCATGAACAACACCTTTCTGCCGCCGCTGCCGATGATACCCAGCAATCCGTATGACTATCCTCGCAAGCCATGTTCTCAGATGCACCCTACAAGCCTCCGGCTTCTCCAGCCCTCTGATTGTTCAGGACGATTGCGCGACATATTGACCTGGAGACCATGGACTGATATTATGGCCTGGACCCTCGCCACAGGTAGAGATGACAAGCCTCACCTTTGTCAGGACAAACAAGTGACTGCACCGCTGTTTGTGTCGGCCTTCAGGGATGCACCTGCCACCGCCAGCACCTTTCAGGTTTATATACTCTCAAGGATGCCAGATAGACCCGGGGGAGTCACTCCGACTCCCCGTCTGTACGGTCCGACACCCATGCCGATCCCACAGCCTACCTTTCTCTCAACTCCGAGCTGCTGGCCCAGGCTAGAGGAGTCCTCGCCTGCTGCGCGGCCCTCAATTGCCTTCGGCTGGTCTACGGATTTCCTCCTGCCCTGTGACAGGCTCGAGGTGTCCTCGCCTGCAGCCCGGACTCCAGAGCAGCAGCTCAATTATGCCACCGCCTCAAATTGGTACATCTGTCAGGCCTCATTCCTTTGGTGCCCGACAATATTGCCAAGGCCTCAGTGCAATCAGCATCCACCTCCAGCCACCCGCCAAGGAACAGTTGGTTGCAGTCAGGCACCATACCAATCCACATGGCAGCACTTGGCTCAATCCAGTTGTCTTGCGTTCCCCCCTCGCTCAGGGAACAGCCTTGCCGTCCTCCCCTTGTCCCTACTCCTGCCTCGACCTCGTGCAGCATGCCGAAGCGCAAGACCAAGGACACTACCAACACCGGGACCAAGGCCAAAGGACGCAGACACCATAGTCCACCATGCTCATCCAGCGAGACCTCCGAGGCAATGGATTCAGCAACGGCAACGGCCTCTACAGCGCCTCGCCCGCGACCGCCATCCTTGGCCCGCTCGCCCGGCTCCAGCATGCCAGCAGGCCCTCCTCCTCCCAAGCCAGTCAATCTGCCTCCTTCAGGACCTCCACCGCCAACACCAGCGAAGGCGAGTACCACGGCAATCGGGTCCAATACAGGCACGACAGCAACTGGCTTACTCTCGAGCACTGCAACAACATGCACCATACCCCATACGACTGCTGCCGCGATGTTCATGCCGCCACCAGTGCCTACGTCAAGTCCAACAGGCCTCAGCCATCAAGCCAAAGCTCGCCCACCCGTACAGCAGAGTGTCACAATTCCTGTCCCTCCCATCGACATCCAGTACTCTGTCACTATCACAGCGCGGGCAGTCAAGCCGACTACTGAGTCCACCGCGGCTCACACCGGCACAGGCACCAGCTAAGTCTGTGTGCCAGTCCACTGCCTATGCTGAAGCCCATAGGAACAGACCTGCTGACATGCACCCACCTTGCCGATACAGCAGACTGAAAACTACGAGATGCACCACCCTGCATGCGCTCAACAGCTCTTTGCAGTCCTATTTGCTGCCCCCCCTACTGTCACACCCAACTCAGGTCCACTGGCAGCGACGTCTTCTACACTCGCCTGAAGCCCGGCTCCTGAGTACACGCCTGACTCTTATCCGCCACCGCTGCACACAGCTGAGTCTACTCAAGCCAAATCTCATCAGCCTGCATCGTGTGCTCTTGCTCTCATGGCGCGGGCTGCAATCACCCAGGCAGAGCAGACACGGCTCCTCAGTCAGGGAGCCATGGCATCGACCGATGACTCTTGCCAAGCTGCACCGACCACACCGGCTGCCACGATTGCTACAAGTCCTCCACCTCTGCGACGCCGTAGCAGAAGCCCACGTCCCACGATCACCAAGGCACCGGAAGCACTATGTGTACATCAGACGGTGGACCCGGGAAGCCAATGTGAGCATTCGACATCAGCATTCCACATTGATGTTCCCACCACTCCCCACTCCAGCGTATGCATCAACATTCGCATTCAGCTGGTGCAGGGACGTTTTACATCAACTCAGGCCTTCACCACAGACGGCCCAGTGGATGTCTCTCCTTAGCCTCACATTTGCCAACCATTTCAGGCGACACTGCTCAGGCAAAAATCTTCGATCAGTCTGCATCTTCCTTAACATGCGATTGCCAGCCCATCTGACCCCACTGCTCTGCACCTCCCCTTCCCACTCGATCAGGTCAACAGTGCCTCGAACAAGCAACCGCTACGACACAGGCCCGGTGTCACATTTGGCATGTGCTTCTGTCAGCTGTTGTGTCATCTGCCTCGAGCCTGACCTTCTATGCCGACTCGCTGTGATCAGGCTCCCGCCCGCCACAGGTAGATATCTGCTCTCAGTTTGGATATACACTCATTTGAGGGCTCAGTTCGCCCAAGCGAACCCATGGCAAACCCATCGGACAGGCCAGACTCAAGTTCCGAATCGGAAGGAACTCTGGTCTACGCTGCTGAGGTTGCGGAGCGTGCATTCCGAGCATGGAAATCAGAGGCTCTCGGCATCCAGAATGCCTCCAGTGCATCGACCTCTGAATGTCACACACAGCGTCCTTCTCGCAGCCGCAGCCCACACCGATCTTCGTCTCTGCCAGTGCGACAGGACTCTCACAGCTCTCAGCAACCACCTCAGGACCGCCCTGACTCTGGAGGAGGCCCAACCCCAAAGGCGACAATGCCCAGCATTCGTATACTCCTGGTCATCAAGGATGCCGAGACCTGACTCCGACTCAGATCAGTCTCCCCACAGTTTGCCAGACATCTCTCACTGTGCGCGACAAAGCTACTGTGCTTGTGCCGGTACCAACTACAGCCATTCCACCGCACATGAGTTTGCATCATTGCATCATGCCACTCGCAACCGCTTTCACTACATTTTCCTTGGCAATGCTGCCTGCAGGCTCTGGAACGCCCTGCTCTTCTACGACCTCCCCGCATCTCTGTCGGCGATGTGCTCAGTGCACACCGATTCTTCCTCGTATGCCCTGCACACATTTGCATTGCATCAGTGTCACGCCTGCCACCACATCCTGTCCTTGTCGGCATGCTTTGGCTTACAGAAGCACAGCTCTGCCCTGTCTGGGCTCTACCCAATGGGGAAAGAGCAACGGATTCGACGCCAATCCCAAAGACCGGGACAGACCAATCGCGCCGAGACCATCAGCGAGCCTATAGATGCCGATGGGACGGAGCCTGCCCGGGATTCAGGCACACACCAGTGTCTAGACTCCGATGAGGAGGCGGCCTCTCACTCCGCTCATGCCTCCGACTCTGCAGCTCCCTCTTCAACCTCGCCCAGTGCCACGCGCCTTACGGATGAAGAAGTTCGACTCTTACGGTTCGTCCAATGGAACACGTCCAAGCCTCCTCCTGTCACGATATTCCTTCGACCATACCTTCGAGAGCTACGACAAGGACCCAGGGAGGATCCCCTGGGCCGTGAACCTCTTCCAAGGCGTCGGCCGATAGCCCTGGATGCAGCAAACGAGGAGATCTTCTCCAATTGCCCGGGAGCACACGGTCTTCACTACTTCCTGACCCCGGAAGATGGCTGGTGGTGCAGCATATGCGCCACTGAGCATCCCAAAGGCACGGGCTTCTATGGCTGCCGCAAATGCGACTACGACACCTGCCGCACCTGTGCCACTGCTCCTGCCTCCAATCAGAAGCCATCCGCAACCACGGCACCTTCTGAGGACAATACAGGAGGCGGAGCCTTGGACCAGACACCTCTGCAGGCCAGGGTCACACTCCCGCCCAAGGCCAAGAAGCGACCGGCGCCAATCTCTGATTTGGACACAGCCGAGGCGGCCAAGGCTGCTACTAGGAAACCATCAAGGCCTGCATCTTCTTCGGCTCCCTCTCCAGCCCCCACACCGGCGGTTGAGTTCATGCACGAGGTCATCACGGTGGACGACCCGACCCACACCGGACCACCACAGGTCTCAGCTAAGGACAACAAGCCCGAACCAAGCAACCAGACCTCGCTTGCCCCTGGCGACCTCATTGCATCGCTCCTTACTCAGGATCAACCTGACGGACCAGACTCAACAGCTGCACTGGGGCAGACTTGCAGTAATACGGCGGCTGACACTTCCTTGAGCCAGTCCTCTACAGCGAGTCCCAAGCCGATGCTGACCGACTCGGGACAAGACCCACTGCTTCTCTCTGGACCAGATGAGCCGAGCAAATCCAGACCGCGTCCGAAAACAAGCACGACGCAGAAGAAACAGAAGAGAAGCATGCTCAAGACCAAGACCAAGGTCGCCGGAGCCAAATCCAAGAGCACTTCCAAGCTCAGGAAATCCACTGAGACCACGGATGCTACAGCCGTTGAGTACGCCAATTATAACTTGGAACCACACGAGCTCGACCACTCTCGCCGTCCCAGGCGAGTGGGATTCTGGCTTACAGCAGGCCAGAATGCCATTGACTCCTCGCCCGCAAGCAAAGCTGCGGGAAGCACCGACCGGGCATCAACGAAGGGCGCATATACAGGGGCTTGCTCAGCATGCTCAGCACTCCCATTTGCTCAGCTTCCAATATGCTACTCGCTTCCCCTGCTCAGGCTCGTCAACTTCGTGGACACTCATTCAGGCAGCGGACACGGCCCCAGTCTTCCGTCACAGCAAGCAGCCATCGCCACAGACACCACCTTACGGGCCTTTGTCTCTCTGTCTCCCTGGCAGGTCTTTGGCCATTTCCCATCATCTCTGTGCAATCGGACGTGCTCTCAGGCGCCACTTCTGCCAGTGACTGTTCCTGTCTGCCATGCATCTCGACAGTGTCGATTATCCTGCTCCGACCCACCCCCTGTGGCACAAGCTCGGACACACAGCATACTAGTCCCTGCCCTTCCGCAGCTCCCTTGTTCACAATGGCACCGGCAAAGCGGCCGGCCAGCAATGCTCCTAGCAAGGCACCACCTCGCAAGAAGCCTGCAAGCAAGCAGTCAACCTCTGACCACCACGGACTACGAGGCAACTCAGACAATCCTGAGGCTCAGCATGACCTACGCACTCCTCGGGACTCTGATTCAGATGTTATCGATGCCAGAACAGGAGCTGATCAAGAGGATTCCTCCACTGATCAAGACGGCCCGCGCGGACCGCCACCTCCTAGCCCAGTCAACATGCCTGGACGCGGAAGCACTGATGCAGCCGACGACTTCGAGATCCCCACTCCGATCTCTTATCGTGATCTGGGTCGGGAGAATTTTCGTATCATTTCGCAGATGCCTCTGGCCACTGTGCTTCGGCATGCTGCATCGCACATATTTGGGGCATCATCAAGCCGCCCGGAGTCACCCCCCCGGGGATGAGACTGGCTCTATCGCGTTCTTCCGAGCATTGTCTAGCATCCCAGAGACGCGCTATCAAAAGATGAGTTCCACAGCGCACCTATGTGCACTTCCCCTCATGCCTTCCGATATCGAACCTCGGCTCCGATGGCACATTTGCCCAGGAAAATTCTTCTACAAGCACCTGTTTCGTAAACGCCCACCCCCCAGAGTCAGAATACGGCTTCTAACTCGGCGCCGATCGCCACCAAGGCGACGTCCGGTGCCCTTCCTGCACCGACTTTGTGACAAGTATGTTGCCAACTCCTCATACATTAAATCTCATATACTTGCCAAACATGCTCAGTACAGTTCCATTTTACATGCCTGCGAAGCTAGGGTTCGCAAGTTCTCCACGCCGTCCCCCTGCGTGTGGTGTGGCAAATCCTACAAAAGGCGGGATGCCCACATGAGAAGCTGTCTTGTGCCCTGTGTATGTATGCTCCTGGAGAGCATCTTGCATCCCACTCGACCGCTTGCAGGAGAACCTTCCCTCGATGACATTCGCCGAGCCTCCATCCTTCCTCAGCCAGAGCCTCCCAGCCACGGAACCGAAGCAGATGTCTCCGGAGGACGAAATGAAGGTATATTGTGGGATTATGTCAGCTCCAGGCACAGAACAAGAACAAGAGGACAGAGCCATGGAGATCGAGCAAGAGCCAATGAGGAGTTCGCACCCCCTGGAGGAGAGACCAGCGAAGGCGCCAAGAGGAGCCAACCAGGGGAAGGCTGGACCAAATGGGAAAGGGAAGGGCGATACCAAGGGGGACCACAAGCGTCGCTCAGAGAATGGTTCGGGCTTCAATCCAAACCGGAATCAGCCTGCTCGCTCCACTCACTCCAACAACCTCCAGGCCGAGCTCCGCCGCATGCACTCCTTGCTACAGAGCGTTTGCCGTCTACTTCTCCGTCACGAAGACTCCCTGAACCTGCAGTCTCTCGATACCCGATACATCATTTTCTGCACCAATCAGCCAGACGGCATGCCCAACCGCCTCTGGAAGGTTGCCAAGGCCTGGAAGGAGCTCAGAGACAAAGGTCAGGCCACGATGGCGTTGAGACAGGCCCTTGCTCATGCACTGTTCAGCGAAGTCAAGAACCGCATCACCAAGGCGATGCAGGACGATGGACAGAGGGAGCAAGCTGCTCAGAGGGGGTGGATTACGGAGGATTGCAAGGGCTGGAACTACCTCCAGTGGGACAACAAGGAGCAGAAACACGTCATCAACCAGGAGAACGAACCCATTCTCCACACAGAAGCCGTCCGACTTCTGGACCGACTCCTCTTTCTCTTTGCCCAACCGGGCGTCCTCCACCGATTTCACGCGAAGCGGAGCCTCTTGGAGACCGGAGATGCGCCAGTCATCGTCTTTGTAATGGATATAGGCCTGAGGATTCAGCTGGCTCACGAGACGTTCGACACTATGCACCGTCTGAGCCAATCGGCTATTACTCAGACGGTTGGCATGAACCTCCGTCAGGATCGCTTGCAGAGATCCCCTTTGGCCAACTACATCCAGAGTCAACTCGCCTCCACATCCTCCAGCTGAGGCTTCGCAACCCGTCTAATCTGTGCTACATGCATGCCGTGCTTTTGTCCTGGCTATGGAGCCTCACTTTCTGCCCTGACCATCTCACTCAGGTTCCGGATTGGCTCATGCGAGGAATCAGGTGCATCCTTGAGTGTCACCATCCACAGCTCCTTCTGTCTCAGTCTATCTGGCTTAACCTGATACAGGACTGGACAGCGCCTCACAGGCAGCATGACGCCGCAGAGTTTTTACAGTACATGCACAGCCGCTCGCTATTCCCACAACCTGATGTCTATTGGCAAACACGTGTTGAGATTGACAGGCACACGTGCGTGGAAGAAGAGGGCAACTCACCCGTGATCTGCCTTTCACTCAGTGCTGCCGCTACGCACGATACCCAATCCCTGATTAATGACTGGCATACGCAGGCTGGGACTCGAGCTCTTAATGGACGGACTGAGCTTGTTGTGATACAGTTGGCTCGCTACCGAGATGATTGCAGTAAGCGCGATGACCAAGTGGCTCATCAGCCACGACTCGCTATTCCGACTTTTACTGATGACCACACAACAAGTACACATCTGCTGTATTTCAGGTTGCAAGCCATTTGTATTCACCTGGGAATGCAAGTCACCTCTGGCCATTATCAGGCAATTTTGTATGATCACTTGAGCGGCCAATCTTTTCTCACTGACGATAATGTGCCCGCATCGTTGATTGCGAATGTTTCCGAGATTGAACAGTTCTACCGTAGCAACTACCTCCTTTTCTATGTTATTGATGATCGTACTGTCGCAAAGGTTCAGTTATATCCCTCGCGTGCCTTCGGGAGCTTCGGCTCGGGGCCGCTCGTTTGCGGAGAATGCCAAAGGCATGCCATCTAGAATGGCCGGATGATTAATCATCTGTCTCGGTAGCTTCGCTAAGCTTGACGACTCGAGCAGCGCACTCAAAGTCAAAAGTATATATGTATTTATACAGGTACATGTGCATGTGTATCGGTATGTATGTGCCTAGCTTTGTGTAGATGTGGGAATGTATGCATGTATGGACGGATGGCTGGATGGGCACATACACACAGTCGTGGCTTTGCGTTTGTGCTTTTGCACTGCATATGGGAGTGTATGCATTCACGCATGGTTTGTGTCTACACATGAGCATGCAAACTTGAGAGCACATGCGCAGCAATACATGTGAATATGTATGTATAGACATGCATATGTGCGTGTACATGCCACCGGCGCACACTGTCCACTTCGTGTACGTACGTATGTATGCATGCACTACATGGTAGGTAGGCTAGTAGGCAGGCCCAGGCAGCTAGGAAGGGGGGGAGGCAGTGAGAGAGTGAGGTGGGCAGTCAGGTAGAGGGGTCAGGTCGGTGGGTGGCATACGCGCACACATGTGGCATTCTTGTACAAGAAGCAGTTTGTTACCGTGTGTAGATATTCCAGCAACTACCATGGAACTCCGGCGCAGGCTCGGTTCACTCCTCTCACGAGGGGCCCGGGATGCCCAGAGGGCTCTCGATCTGAGAGGGGTTTGAGGGTCCAGTTCCAATGTATCTTGAGATACGACAATAGGGATCTATAATAAATGCTATGGTTCCTTCATCATGGTAGCTTAAATTAAGTCCCTTACCAAGGACCCGGTTAAGGGTTGAGGGTTTAGGGATTAGGTTCAACACCCAGACGCTGATCTGGGAATTCTTGGCAGGGCGTGGCTTGCAGGTAAGGAGTGTAGGGTTGGGTTTGGTTCGGTTTGGGGCTTTGGCTTGGGGATATCTGGGGTTTGGTGTTTGGTTCTGGAGTTTAGAGCATGGGGTTCTGAAGCCTGATTGAAGCTTAGAGAACATAGCTCATGACCCAAGGAGGGCGGGTTGAGTGCCATGGCAAGTGAGCAAGTCACAACAAGGGAGCATCAGGTTATCGCCCTTTAGCCTTAACCGCCCTGAGCCCTGACCCCCAACTTCCCTAACCACAAGCGTCCCTAACCTCAGTTCACCCGAAACCCTAAACGTCGAGCCCCATGTCCCAGACTTAGAGCCGTCACAGCGCTCCACAGCGCAAGGTTTCAGCCGATGCCTTCGCAGCAAGCAGGCGGCTTTGTTTTGGGGCTTCGGTCACTCCGTTCCGCGGTCCAAATCCCGAACCCTTTAAACCATCACTCCCAAGGGCTCGCATCAGTTCGAAGGCGAATTATGACAGGTCAGGCTCGACGATGCCATTCTGGGCCTCGGATTTGAGGTTTGCGATAGCAAGGCTTGGCGGTGGTTTGGTGCTTCTGTGTTCCAGCGCTTTGGGTTTTGTGGTGTTTGCATCTTAGGTTCTTTTGGTAGATAGCCCGATCGAGCACAGTTCCTTTTGAGTCCCTTCAAAGGTCCAGTGCTGAAGTAGGCACCCCATGAAATAAAGATGCCCTTCCTGAAACCGAATCGTAACTGGAATCCTGCGAACGAGGCATCCTTGAGTTCAGGATGCTCACGGTTTACATGCGTAGTTTGGGTTTCAGGGTTTGGGGTTGAGGTTTAGGGGTCGGGGGTTTAAACCCTAAGCCGTGAACCCGACACCCCCACCAGGTCCTAAACCCGATGCACCCGAGCCTTCGACCCAAGCCCAGCCCTAAACCCCAGGTCCTACACCCTGGACCCGAAAGAGCCCTGGCAAGGATATGTTTAGGCAGCCAAAAGGCAAGCCCCCAGGAAACTCCAAGACCCTATAAATCTTTCTAAAGGCCAAAGCCCCATCCCCAGCCTCCCAAACCTGAACCACCTCAAACCCAAAACCCTAGACCCCCAGACCCTAAACCTACACCCTGGCCCCGACACCCCAAACCATCCCAAAACCCGAAACCCTCGCCATCCCTGAACTAAACCCAAACCCCCAGCCACTAAACCCTAAACCCTGGTCCTTCAAGCCTAAACCCCAGAGCCAAGCAGGCGGGGCGCAATCCTCCAGCTTCCCGTCGAAGGTCGCGAGCTCAACTCCGACTTCAGTGACGACGTAGCCAGAGAGCCCAATACCCCTTAATTAGGGAATATAGCTTAAATCATAATATGAATCCTCTTATAGTTTAAGGTATATTCCTTAATTAAGGGGTGTTGGGCTCTCTGGGTGGCGGTAAAGTTCTGGCTCTGTCAGGGTTTGGGATTTAGGGTAGGGTTTAGGGTTCGGTTGAGGGTCTGGATAGTATTCCGTATAAGGTTCCTATTCCAATTCTGAACATCATACACCCCAAACTATTCTTCTGCTTATGAAGCGCCCTCCTAAACTCTAAACCCCGAGCCAAAAGTCCTGAAGCTATGAAGAGCCCTATGTGATGCAAACCCTACACCCCAACTTGCAAATCCTAACCCCTAAACCCCAAACCCCAAACCCTAAAGCCCCAATCCCCTAAACCCCAAACTCTAAACCTTAATTCCCGAATTAAATAATTTAAACAATCTAAATAATTTAAATAACTTAAATAATTTAGATAGTTTAATTTAAACCCCTAAACCCTAATAAACCCCGAGCCCTAAAGAAAGCTCGGAGCAGAGGCCGGGCTAAAAGCCCAGAGAGCTTCCGAGGAGCACCTGTGGGGGAGCTCAGGGGGCGCTTCGGGAGACTCCAGTAGCCCTTAATCAAGGAATGTACAATAAATCACATTCAGGATCCTACTATAATTTAAGGTATATTCCTTAATTAAGGAATATATATATATATATATATACACACCCTCAAAGGGTTCCTTAAAGGGATCTATAAGGGGATCGAAGAGGAAGTTCAGGAATAGACCTTCAATCATGTTAGGGACCTTGCTGTAATTTAAGGTAGATTCCTTAATCAAGGGATATTGGAGTCTCCGGGCGCTTCGGGAGATGGGGGGTCACGGCTTGGGGTTGGGGGATGTTTAGGGTTCAGGGTTTAGGGGTTTAGGGGTTTAGGGGTTTAGGGGTTTAGGGTTTAGGGTTTAGGGGTTTAGGGTTTAGGGTTCAGGGCTTCGGGTTTAGGGTTGGGATCTAAGCAGCAGGGCTTGGTGGTTCAGGGTTTGCTGGCTAGATGTTTCGGGCTCGGGGTTTAGGCCCAAGCCTTGCTTAAACCGTGCGGTGGGGTCGGGGTCAAGGGTTTTGTGATTCGGGTTGAGCGGTTCAGGGTTTGGGTAGCTCAAGCCAAGGAGAACCCTCTTCAGGTTGGGTTTTTTGGGGGCTTCTTCGCCTCTGACTTCTAAGCGTAACTCTGGCTCAAGTTGAAGTACGTCTGGTTATTCTCCCCTGACCTCGGAGCGCCAAACCCGGAAGGCCGAAAACCTTGCCACATTGAAGCCTTCCCGAAGGGGCCTCTCATAAGACTCATGCTACAAGTACCATGATTTGCCCCCAATTGAGGGACATCAAGGACCATTGGAGTCTCCGGGTTCACGCCCATCCTAATCTCAAGGCAGCATAACTTGGACTCCACGTTTATCGACGCCTACGACGCCGTCGGGCCCTCAGGGGAGGGCCAGCGTAGCTTTGTATGACCTCACGTCTCAACTCTGAAACCTCGCCGCAATGAAATTTCTTGTGGATGCCTGTGAGGGCATTCAGTCAGACCAGAACTGACAGCCGATGTGAAAGTGACTACGACGAGCACGATGCCGATGATTGTGATGATGATGTCCCCCAGGCTGTCATTTAATGGCATGGAATGACATCAGAAAGGCAAAAAGCACAATCGAAAGGCTAATCACGGCCTTTCCATGTGTCAATACTGCTAGAGACCGGTGGGAATTTGTGCTCATGACGGCGAAGAGAGGCAGCACTGGCAAATATACGTCCGCTGAAAATGATGATGACATTTCCGTCATCATCGAAATTCCTTGATAATGAGTGCCAAGAGAGTATTACTGTGGGATTTATGGTACTAGTACGGTTGTGGTGGGGGTGCCCAGGTGCAAACGCTTGAGGAGCGGAACCAACAGGCTGCACGAGCCATGCAGCTACTGGACGAGGCCATTGATTGGAAATATAAGTTCAGCTTGACTCTTGTATTCGGGTTCGTGCTCCCTCGGTTAGTACCGCGAAAACTTCATGCGCAGACCGAAAACTCTGCTAGCTGGAGGCAGTGACGATGCCAATTCATGTGGACTCGGAAGACCAGACACGCTACTTTCAACCCCTGAACCCTACTACGGCCAAATTCGCAAATCCTCTAGACTCTAGCACCTCCCTGAAGCCCGGCAACTTCGACGACCCCCAAAGCTTTCATGTGCCTTTCTGAGCGACCTCAGGCGCTGAGGGCAGCCGAAAGCACCGGTGCATGGCTCAGTCGGTTCCCAGAAAGCCGCCAAGAACTCACCATTTAGGATTCAAGACTGATTGGTCGAACAAACAAATGGTCAGGCTAGTGGACAGGATGTTGTTCATGGTGACGTTTGAAGACTGGCTCAGCAGTAACAACACCAGCCATTCGTCACGCTGCCAAGAGTCTGCGCAGTCCTGACCCACTTAACATAGGGTCTTAAGTTAATTAAGTACCAGTACTATTTTGGGGTTCCTGATTATTGCTATAGTATAACTTCCCTCCACCCACCAACAAAAACTTTATTCTGACTGCTACATGTAAGGCCTCCGTAGTAGCACGTCTCAGCTATCCTCTAAACTGGTTCCTATATACACCGCAAGGCTGGACCCCTGCAGGCCTCCACCCAAAACAGCCACAGGTTTTGAGGTTCAGGGTATAGGGTACGGGGTTTACGGTAAAGGGTGTTTAGGATTTAGGGTTTAGGGTACAGGGTTTAGGGTGCAGGGTATATAGTTAGTTGTTTAGGGTTTGGGGTACAAGGAACCGAGATCTAGCAAACTCAGACTCCGAAGCATGGCCTTCTGTATGCTCCGGTGAGGTCCTGGCCGGTCGAACCGATGTCCACCAGGCCTGTAAGCGGCAACACACACACACAGAGTTGCTGAGATGATTCTCCCATAGTGCTCCTGCATGCTTTAGGTATTTTGTCTCCATCAAACGACTGTTTTCTTGAGAGACCTGAGGTTTGGTGTGAGGTTTGTTGCAGCCCGTCTAATGTGACTTGGTTGTGGGATTTGGATCTACTAGGTTACCAGGAGTATCCTTGCGAAAGTGATTTTTTGCACGAAGGCACCCCGGATGTCCTTTTCGTGGGGTGATCCATACGGCTCCCGAGCGCGGTCCGTTGAGGTAGTTGTCGCTCCAAGCCCTACTTCGTAAACCGTAGCACGCGAGAGGCCCTGAGTTCTAAATTTCGATGGGCCCAGACCTCTGGAGTGAGAAGCGACAGGCAGACCACTTAGTGGCAGCAATGTCGCCTCCAGCATGCAGGAGGCCCTGGTCTGGGGACTGGAGGGATTGGGCTGTGGTTTTTGGTTGTTCTTGGTATCGTACTACTGCGGCAATGACGACGAAGATGACGATGACAATGACGATGACGAACAGGAGGACAAGGAGAAGCAGGAGGAGGAGACCACGAAGACGACGGCGACGACGACGCGTACTGCTGAGTGCTGCTACTGCAACAGCAACAACAACTACTGCTCCTGCTGCTGACGTGCTGCTATGTACTAGTTCGGCACACCATGACAACTACGACTGCAACGGCGACGACTTGTGCTACACCTGCGCTTCGTTTGCTCCACGACGGCGACGTCAACGCCTGCTGCTACGAGCACCGAAGCCAGACTTGTGGACCGTGGCTGACAAGCAACGAAAGTACCTGCAGCATTTTTCTTCTCAGTACCCGTTGTGTGACCCTCATTCGGGTTTCGCGCTTGTCTTGTCACTATAAAATCTTTGAACCTTCTACGTAACTGCATTGGCAGCACGGCTTCAAGACGAATGCACCAAGCTAAGGACACGTAAAGCATTGCAATCTTCACCGTTTCAACATCAAGCCTTAAGACCCCAAACTAATCCCTAAGCCCTAAACCCCAAAGGCCTCAACAATCATCGCCTTTAAAGCCGAAAGCCGCGTCGGGAAGCTTTGCCGTGGCGAGGACGCGAAAGCTGCGGCGAGCCCTCCGAGTGTTCAGGCCGGGTTCAATCGCTCTGATCAGATTGCTTCGCTGGCATCATCATTGGGTTTTGATCAGTGCTGTTACTGTTCTTGGGTGCCCCGGAAGACTTGCCTGCATTTGCTAGAACTGCTTGTTATTCAGTACTACTCACTGTTCCAGTCCCGGAGTTTTCACCATGCTCAACCGAGGCGGCGTCGGCGAAGGTCATAAATGGGATCGATGGCAAAGTACAGCGAGGTGCTGCAGAACTTGGGAGGGTCGGGGCTTCAAGTCCCGGAACTCAAGACTCTGAAGTTTCCACAAACCTTCGAGAGGTCTATCGGCTGATCCGGTTGACCTTGGCTTGTAAGTCAGAATGCAATTCTGCACCTGTACTTCGCACCCGGACGGAAGTTCGGCGAAGCCCGCCACGGAGGCGGCTCACCTCGACAACCTCCCTCTACACCGCAAACACTCCCAGCACGGATAATCAGATGAGGTCCGGGCCTTCCCCAAAAATGACGATGAGCAGTTGTCGCCATAGGAGATGACAGTATTAGTATCAGAGTAGTCTATTATAATACTGCCGATATTGTCCGTTATAGTGCATTAGTATTACAGTAACGTAAGTCCGATGTGAAATAATCCGATGGCCTGGGGACTGATGTTGCTGTGAGCTTGATGACGGGCGCTGAGTAACTACTATATCAGATGCTGCGTGAAGCTTTGTTCCTTCCGATGTAGTGACACCGAGATAAGGAGTTCTTTGGAGCTACTCAAACCCGGCTCATCCTTCAAGTCAACCCTGAACCCGGCATACTCAACCTTTACGCCCCCACCAGGAGCCCTTATCTCTTAAGCGGATCCCGGAATCTTCCGCCGAGAGCCCTAGACTGAAAAAGTAGCAGAGGGAGCAGGAGTAGTAGTGGTGGTAGTTGCAGTAGCAGTAGCAGTAGTAGTAGTAGTAGTAGTAGTAGTAGTAGTAGCAGTAGCAGTAGTAGTAGTAGTAGTAGTAGTAGTAGTAGTAGTAGTAGTAGTAGTAGTAGTAGTAGTAGTAGTGGTAGTAGAACTAGCACTAGCATTTGCACTAGCACTAGCACTAGCACTGGCACTAGCACTAGCACTAGCGGTAGCACCAGCGGTAGCAGTAGCAGTAGCAGCAAGTACATTGAGAAGAATGATTTCAAGGCTGCTGCTGTTTCCTGACAGGTTCCATGGCACAAGCGCGGGCCCGAGAGGTCGCATGGCAGCTGATTGGGCCTTAGGTCTCAGGGGCGGAATTCAGGGGCTTCTGAAAATTATGGATTCCCTGTTTAGGGGGGTCTCTTTAAAGAGGATACGAATAGAGTTGAGGGTCTCTATCAAGGGTTCCGTTCTTGATTAAAAAAAATCGCGGAGGCAAGCGCTGGAAATTCACGCCCCCTTATTAAGCAGCGCTCTAGTGCCTGGCTTTGATGCTCGGACCGTCCTACATTTTGGATCCCATTTGGGCAGCATCAAGCCAGTGGGTTTGAAGAGGCTTCTGCCAGCCCCCGAACAAGTTCGTCATACATCGCCTAGGCATGAAGCCCCAATTCGCACACTGTACACCCTGACCATCCTAGGCTTGAATTACTTCTGAGTTGTAGGCCCTAAGGTAAAAGCCAGAAAGTTGGAATATCATTATCCTAAACCCTAAATGGTAAATTATAGGGTATCCTACCATGAAACCATATTCCAACTTTCTGGAGTTCCCTGTAAGCCCTGAAGCTGAAAGCCTAAACTGTAAGCAATAAACCGAGGTAGTCACCCAGCCGGCTGTCCCGCTGAGCTCTCCGTCGGGGTCTGAAAAGGCTGGCAGGATTCAGGCGCTTATCTGCAGGGCTTTCGGGCTCAGGGATTTAGGGCATGTTAAATTCTAGGGCTTCGGGTTTTTAGAGCGTTTGGTTTTTAGGGTTAGGGCCTTGGGTTTAGGGTTCAAGGCTGAGATATCGAAGCCCTTCCGGAAGCTAAGTGCCCCTTGCGCTTGTGCATGCTGCAAGCGCTTGTCCCGCATGCACATGGGTGGTTGTCAATATTAGGGTCCCTTTTTGGGTCCGTATTATAATACGGCACCTAATTTGTAGGGTACCACAAAAAGGGACCCTAATTTTTAGGGTACCCCCAAAAAGGACCATAATTTCGATAACGATCCACATGGACCGGCTTTGGTCGCCGCGGTCATTGCAAGGGGTGCGGCGTGGGCTATTCTTCTCAGCTTTCCGCTTATTGAGGGGGAAGCCCCCAAGGCCAAACACCTTGGTAGACAAGTTTTTTGGGCTACAACCAGCCCCGAACCAAGACGAACAGTCTTCCAGACAAGAAGGGTACCTAAAACGAGGCTGGGAATGTAGCAGGAGTCTGAAGAGCGAGTACAGGCCGGAACTGGATTCAGTCTCTTAGCCAACTTCCCTACGTGCCTCTTCCACTCCACCCCTAATCCTCAAATGAATCCTAAACTAGGTTTAGGGCTTAGGGTCTAGGTCCTAAACTCACCGTGCTGCCATTGCTGCTGTTGCGCGCTAAGGGAAGACTGGCCGCTGCCGGCGTCGCACACGCCGGCAGGCGTTTGGCTAGGGTTGAGGTTTTAGGGCCCCGAAAAGACTACGGGCCTACGGGTTGAGATGTCCGATTGTTCTAGAGTTTACTCACCATCACGTAAACGGAGACGACTTCCCTTCTGAAAGGGCAGTCAGTAGTCTTGAGCGGGCACCTTTTCCCATGTTACTTTGAAGGAGGGTGGGGTTCACCTGCCTGGTCAAGCTGCCGGGGATTGGGTGTGTGACGCCATGCCGCTATACGCTAAACCCTGAACCCCCCCACCAGGCCTTGAACTATATTTGCAGTTGCAGACTGACCCTAATGCAGAAAGTCCAGGCAAGCTTAGCTTTTGGTGCTTTTGCAGCGAGGCACTCCGCCCAGGGTGCCGTCGCTGAGCTCGAAGCCCCCTTCGGCCACGTCCCAAGTTGCACTGAACTCTAAACTCCAAACTCGAGCTTCGAGCTGGTGTTAAGTCGATGGCTTGCGTGTATGGGGATGAAGTTTGAACCGAGAATAACGGCCCTGTAAGGAGGATCCCCATGATGTAATCCAGTTGCATGGATGGGGTTTCACGAATCAAAGGTTCTAGTGCTTATGCACCCGGGGGTTTGCATCAAAGCCAAAAACAACATAAATCCTCGACTCAATTAATGCCCGAATCCTAAAGCCTAAACCTTCAAGCCTCAACCCTACATCCTAAGCAAAATTCTTGAATCCTAATTCCTAAGCCCTAAATCCGAAACCCTAAACCCCCATACCCTAAACCCTATACCCTAAACCCTATACCCCTTAACCCTAATCCCCTAAACCCTAATCCCCTAAACCCTATACCCTTAACCCTAATCCCCTAAACCCTAATCCCCTAAACCCTATACCCGAAAGCCTCTACCCTAAAGCCTGCAGCCGACACAGCCTTGAAGACCCAGGTCGCCAGTGCACCCGTGCACCGGACGGTCAGCGACGGGAGCAGAAGAGAAGTTTGGGGAGTGGCCTGGGCAGCATAAGGACTACTACTACTACTACTACTACTACTACTACTGCTACTACTACTACTACTGCTACTACTACTGCTGCTACTATACTACTACCACGACAGCAACAACAACTGCTACTGTTACTACTACTACTACTACTACTACTACTACTACTACTACTACTACTACTACTACTACTACTACTTCTTCTAGTATAGTAATCACAGTACAACTAAGTAGATGTAGGGATGTAACAGGTAGTACATATACTCGTAGCTCGAAAAGGGAAGCTGAACCCTAAACCCTTAAATCCTAAACCCCTCAACCCCAAGCCCCTAAATCTTAAACCCTAAACCCCTCAACCCTAAGCCCCTAAACCTTAAACCCTAAACCCCTCAACCCTAAGCCCCTAAACCTTAAACCCTAAACCCCTCAACCCCAAGCCAACCCCAAGCCCCTAAACCTTAAACCCAAAACCCTAAACCTCCGAGGTACAGGCACCAAAATATCTTGAAACAAAAAGAGAGCTCCGATCCGAGGTCCAGGCCCCGCCTTTAGCGAGACCATGCGCTGCTGAGTGGGAGTGTGGCTGCCCCGAAACACAGCCTTTGGACCTAGGGGGTCTTTAGGAGGGTTTTTTGTCTGTTTGTGGGAGGTTTTGGGGGTTTAGGGTTTTAGGAGGTTTTAGGGTTCGCACAGGTTGATGCTGTTTGTGATTTGGGCATTGAGGGTTTGAGGGCGGGCTTCGGAGGGTATCGATCCAACGCAACATTGGCCCTAAATCCTATGGAGGCAAGTGGGGGACTATCTTTGGAGTGTCAAGTGAAGGTCAAACAAACGATTTGCTCGGTTTCGCTAAGAATTGAAGCGGCAAGTCCAACCACCCTTGAAACCCAAGAATCTTGAGAGGAAGATCCTAAAACTAACCCCAGACCCCAAACCGCTTCTCCGTTTGAAATCCTAAGCCCTAGCCTTGCAAAACCCTGCTGACTTCGAGCCCTGAAATCAGGGGACTCAACTGCCCAGGTGAGAGAGCTCCAGCACCCGTCGGCGTTGCGCGGCCGTCGTCGGATCTCCACGCCGTATAAGCCGGGTTCCCACCCTGTCTCAAGTTGAGAGTATAAGTTATATATATATATATATATATGTATAGAATATATACTATAATATAATATAATGTAGATAAATAAGTAAATATATAAATATATATAAATATATATAAATATATAAATATATGTGTATATATATATATATATATATATATATATATATATATATATTATAATACAATATATTATAACAGTCCGGGCTTCTGGGGATTGGAGCTTCGATGCTTTGGGCGCAGGGCTTCTGGGGTGTGGGATTTGGAGCAGGGGCTTTTGGGGTTAGGATTCAGGGTGTTTGGGTGTTGGCAAGCAAGAGTTATGAGATTTGTCGTACTTCTTTGGTGTCATGGAGATCGCTCTGGTGGAGCTTTGTGCGCGTGGGTCGAGGTAGTGGCCACAACTACCCTACACCGATCTTCATCACCATCATCATCACCACCACCATCATCATCACCATCATCATCCTCAACGTCGTCAGGATTCGGCAGCATCTGCAGCATCATTCTCGTTTTTTCTAGTTGCTGCTGTTTTGCTACTTTTGCGGTCGCCGTCGTCTACGGCTAGTTGGGTTCCGTTTGCATGGGCCCATGCCAGGCTTCCAGATTGAGAGTTCAAGGTTGAAGAAGGCTGCTGGGTGTGTAACTTAGGGCTTAGAGGGGGCTCTGGCATGCCGGTATGGTCCTGGGTGCCTGATCGAACTCCGTTGTTGAATTATCTTGTCCGAACGTGCCTCCCGATTGTCCATGTTCGCCGGCATGGCAGGCGTTCTTCGTTTCCACCGCACATCATAGGACTTCTGGGGTAGGGAGGAGGGGGTTAGGGCCCTGCACAACCCAGAAGAACTTCTAGCCAAGATGGATAGACTGAGCCCTTGCCGCCCTCCTCCTTATCCCTTTTAGGGTCCCCGTGAACATGCTGAGAACGGGCTCTGTTGAAATCTCCAGACGGGGTGAACGTCTCGGCGCACGGGTTGCTGTTCGACAAACCGGAAGAGCTTCAGGAAGCAGCAGGGTACTAGCTGGTCATACCGGGATCGCCATCAAGACAGAAGTGGTGCCCTTAAGCACCGCAAGTAGTATGTTCGCTCCAACAACAGAAGGCAGTCATCCGCTTTTAGTCGCGAATCCTGCATTCTCACCTCAAGCTAAACCCTACAAGCTTGCAGCCACAAAGCCAAGCATATCTCTCATGGGGTCCTTAACACGTTGAATAGGGTGTTGTGGTATGCAAAAGAAATTATGGTAAGGAGCCTTCCAGAACCGTATTTGTAGTCAGCAGGCTTCTCTTTCAGCGCAGAAGTAGTTAGGCCGACCCCGTCCTCATGCCTCCGGGAAATCTTGGTTTAGCTCTCGATTGGCTGCTCTTGTGGGGTCTCGATCTAGAGGTTCGGCATAGATTGAGGAGTAGATATACTTTCGGGGTCTTTCGGGTTCGGGGTTTAGGGCTGAGGGCCACTTGCAGCTATGTCCTGATTCACAAAGGATCCGCTGCAAAGGCGTAGTTGAGCACTGCGACAGCAACCCTATTCAATGGGCAGTTTCCCTTCCTTCGGCTGTTGTCATTCGTATCACGTTGTTCCTTCTTACCAGTCTCGCTCGCGATACTGCCACAAGTATTGCCGCCAGATAGTAGCTAAAGTGATTTGTGCTGAGCTGGCTTGTCACTACCTTTCGAACGGCACTGCTGGAATCAATGATGATTTTACTGCCTCTAAACCCCATGCAAGATGCCCTGCAATTTGCAGAAGTCAGGCCAGTACAAGCTTCCAGTTTGGTTCCCGGTTTGGGGTAGGTTTGTAGCAGTTTTGTAACTCTCACATTGCCATTCTCGTGTCTGAGGCTATCGGCTATCGCTAGTGTCATTTATGAAAGGTATGCACGCAAGCGCATGCCGTGTTCTTTGAAGCTCTAGGCCCTAGGCCGTGACCCCGAAGCTTATTCGAAGCCCCAAGCTCTAAACTTAGCCCGGTTCTTCGCCTTTCTGAACTTCTCCAACTTAGTAACATGTTCAAACAGACCCCTAAACCCTAAACCCATGAAATCCTTTATTTGGGGTTCGCCATTCTGGGAAACTTCCTACAGCACGCCCTCGGAGGAGGGCAGCCTTCGAAGCCCCACAAATCGCTGGAATACAGGGGCCTTAATAATTATGACATTGTTCTTTTGAACGGGGTCTTATGACAGGTTCTATAAGGGTTACTATAAGGGCTACTATAAGGGTTTAAGTGTAGGGGCCTTGAGTTTTAGAATAGGGTTTTGGGGGGATATCATACTACAACGATAATCCGGAACCCACCCTCCCCAACAAAAACTAGCATAGGTAACTGAAAGCGAGAGCCATTTCGGGTTTAGCCCTGGGGTTTCGGGATGTAGGGTTGAGGGTTCAAAGGCCTTTTTAAGGGGTTCTAGGATTCCAGGGTTCGGGTGCAGGTTTCTGTATCGGCCAAGACCCGAAGGATCAACAGAAAGGTCTGCTCCCACAGGGTGTAACAACTGACATCCGTTTTCATACCTTTGAACCTAGATCCCTAGACCCCCAGGCCTTCACCCCTGAACGCCTACTTGGAGGATCATGGGACTTAGTAACTAGGGTTATAAATAAGGTAACTATACTTATAACTCCAATTAGGGTACTTATATCCTTAGTTACTAAGTCCCACGATCCTCCAAGTAGTCCTAACTTAGACACTTTCAGACGACAGTTGGCCTATCAACAAAACCCGAAAAGCCTTAAAACCCCTGACCACCTGCGTCCGACTGCCGGCTTTGGGTTGCCCTCCTCCGCCTCGTTTCCAATGCTCCCGGCAGTGCATCACCTCCGACATGGCAACAACAGCAAAAAGGATGTTTGGGTTCAGGGTTTAGGGGTTTGGGGGCCAGGGTGTAGGATGTAGCATTGAGGACTTTGGCCTTGTGATATAAGGAATACTTTGGCCTTGCGATGTGAGAGAATAGGGTCTGGGGGAGGTGTCCCGGAGACACTTTCAGGCAGCCCTCTGCAATCCACAAACAACACTCCGCTAGAGCCCATCAGCTTTGAGCTTTTCACGCCTTACCGACACCCGGCTTCCAGACATCCCAGAGACTCCAATATTCAATATGCCTTAATCAAGGAATATGCCGTAAATCATAGTAGGATCCTTAATAGGATTTAGCTTCCAGACATCCCGATACTTCGGCTCTTCTTGGAGGGGTTAAAGGAGCAAACTGCACCCCCGAACCCACAGCTCTGCATGAGACCGGGGGGTCCCCTTTTTTGTGGTTCCTGGGGCTGACAACTGATTCGGCACTTCCCCAAGCAACAACAGCAGCCAAGGGCTATTATGGTTTTCCCCGAATTATAGTTATGAGCAGCGGTGGCTAGAAGAAGGGCAATGGTGAGTGTTGTGCTGACAAGACAATAAGCGTACTCTGCAGCTGCCTTACGCTGCGCTTGACTGCTCTCATTACCTGTACTCTCTCATAGCATCTCGCCCAAACTAGTGCTGCTCTCGCAACGGCTTCAGGGGCCATGCGCTCAAACCCTCAAGAGGCGTAGAGTATTTCAGAATGAGGGTTTCCAAGTGCGGGTACCAACATGTATTCCGGTTGAACAGGGCCCAACCGTGAGGAACTTCCCTTCCAGTCCGCCCAGAGTTCAGCGCCTAAACCTTCGACCTGAAAGCGAAAGCCCACATTGTACCTAGGAGAAATCCACGACTGTCGGAGATAATGTAAACGTGCTTTCGGGTCTGGGGGTTTTAGTTTGGGGTTGTTCGGCCGTCACTCTCACACCCTCAACCCCAGAGTGAACCTGTCGTAGGGATACCAGTGGGTGGACGGTCCCGGCGTCGCTTGGATGGCAGCGAGTCTTCCTGGGGCAGTAGTCGTTCATCCAAGAATGCTAGCATGTGGTGATTGTCAGGAGAGGTGCCGTTTCCGGCTTCTTTGGACAGCAATTTCATTCTTGCCTAGATACGAAACCTATGCCGTAGAAGAGCCCCGATTCCGTTCAGATTATCATTCTTGCCAAGATCACCGTTGTTAGTTGCCCCGAGTGTTCAATGTTTGGGACAACCAAGATTACCACAAGTCGATTGACTCTGAAAGCGATGATTAATTATTACCTGCATTACTTTTGACATCACTGACATCGAGAGCAGGAGCAGGATCGGTGTTCTTGCTGATGCTTCTACTGCTGCATAACACCTCAACTTCTTGAGGAAGCAGTATCTGAACTATCGAAGCTTTTCTTTTGAGAACAGCTTCAAACCCTCAACCCCAAGCCACAGAGACCAACAAAACCTACAACTCAAGCTCCAACCTCTTGTTCGTCCTCTAACTATTGAGGCCCAACCCCCACAGCAGCCAGCGCCGCCGCAGGTGCTGAAGGGGTTTTGCGAATTTGGGCTTCTGTGCCGAGGATCATGCATCGGGTTCGCACTTTGTAGTTGTGCGCTGGGAGTGGAGAGACGTGGGTGTGTTCTGGAAACAGCTTCCCTTGTGGTTTTGCGTTGAAGATCAGTGTCTTCCGCGGCTCCGACAGCTTTCGGAGTCTGGCGTTCACGATCAAAGTCCCTTTAGGGCTTGGCATCGTCCCATCACCCTAGACCACCCTGAACAACCGAACCCCAAATCTCTTTGAGCTCTTCCCTTCCCTCGCCCGGCCTGGGTCGAGGCACCTCCTCAGCCGGGAGTTCCGATGTACGGCATGACCCAGGCCCAGGCGAGCTTGCTCTCAGAGACTCCAATAGCCAATATTTAAGGAATATATACCTTACATCATAGACGGATCCCTACCATGATTTAAGGTATATTCCTTAATTAAGGGATATTGGGGTTTAGGGTTTAGGGGTTAGAGTTCAGGGTTCACGGTCAACGGTGTTAGGGGTTAAGGGCTCTGGGGGTTTAGGAGTTCAGGCTTTTGGGCTCGAGGTTTGGAGACTGGGATGCGGGTTTAGAGGCAATTGGGGTCGGGGCTTGGGTGTTCAAGACCCTTGGCAA